TTCCCAAGTTGCGCATGTGTCGATAGTATTTCCGTTTAACCGCCATATTGGAAATGGGTATCAAACAAAAAACGATTAGAACTCCTGATCGCCATAGAAGCACATCCACGATCCTACATGCACGGGGAAAGTAGACACATATGAGCCCATATGTAGGCTACAGTTTGAGACAAACAGCAAGCCGCTGACTGGCGCTGATCAAATTTAGATGTCACAATTCTTCAGCTGGGGGATCCTCACGATGGAGAGCTATACTTTCAAAATCTAACATGGTAGCTCTCGACGTGAGTAAGGTGAAATATGTTTAAATTCTCCCAAATAATAAGAATGGTTACCATTCTTATAGAAAAATAATACATTATTGTAAAAATCTTTTGTTTTCCTTGAATAAAGTATGCACTTTTGTGATTTTTAGAAAATAGACATCACAAGGAATGACTCCTGTGTTACTTCCTGCGAAAGCTATTTGGATTTTGATATAATAGCTTTCCCACGGAGCATTTGGACAGCTCAATGATCGTGACCTTTGAAACTGAATTAAGTCGATCCGCGGCTTACTTTTGGTCTCTAACTGTGTCTTACATCAGTATCATCAATCCGTGTAAGTATTGGAGCGCTGGAGTACTTCTTTTTCGATCAAGACTTGAAATTCGTTAGTCGAGTGAATCCTTTTACTGCCAAATTCCAATATGGCGGTTTCTGCTCGGACATTTTCGTAAATCTCCGGAGGTTGTCCGAACCTAACTAATTCTCAAAATTCATTTCGTTCGTTGCGTATCTTGCACCTAGCAAACCGCCATATTGGAAATAGGTCTGTAAAACTTTAACTCGATGAACAATTTACAAGTCTTGATCGAAAAAGAAGTACTCCAGCGCTCCAATACTTACACGGATTGATGATACTGATGTAAGACATAGTTAGAGACCAAAAGTAAGCCGCGGATCGACTTAATTCAGTTTCAAAGGTCACTATTGATCAGCTGTTCACTTCTCCGTTTGAGAGCCATAAGTTTCAAAATCTAACATGGCTCTCGAAGTGAGTAACTCCTGTGTTGTCTGGAAACTTTGAAAGAAAATTTGGAAAAATAGAAAGTGTGAATCAGAATTTTCTGGAGTTCGCATTGAACCCCTACCAGATATTCTAAAAGAAGACAATGTAATGATACTTTCCTGGAAAAATCGAGGAAATTGATGCATGCCTTCATACTTTATTTTGTACCAGAAAATAACATGTGCAGATATAGCAATTTTTAATTAGATCTATTTTCCAGTGTAACTTAGATCTAATAAATTGCTTCTAACTAATAAGTATGAATACAAATAATCTTATTTTATCCCCCCCCCCCTTAACATGACATGAAAAGAATACATAAAAAGATCTGGATTATACAGGACTATCCATCTTTCCAGAATTATAGATATAGATTATTCACTTACCCAACTGAAGATCTTCCGCGTGGACATCTTATGAGTTCCCGGATGATGACCCAGATTGTTCCTCTTTGCTCGGTTGTTCCAGACTGCGAGCTTACTCCTTACTTTGCATTTCTCTATATCATCAAATTATCTTATAAATTCGTAAAAGTCAGAAGTACTGCATCGATAAAAAATATATTAGAATATAATTAATTAATAATTTAACAATATAAAAATGCATGACGTATGGATGTTGAATCCATATTATTCAGTATTTGAATTTGATGATCGGGAGTAAAATATTTGAATAGCACAGCACCAATGAATTATACCAAGGTATACATATTCTGGAGGATGAATTTCATTTTATTTTAATCTGCCCGTCATTTATTGATCTAAGGGAAGAGTACATCAAAAGGTATTATTATATTTTACCATCACATCAAAAGTTTATTAATTTAATGTCTACAAAAGGTGTAAATAATTTATGTAACTTAGCTACTTTCTGCTATAAAGCATTTAATTTAAGGCAGGAGCTACTAAATTGATGTAAACATGTATTGTTATATTTATAAAACTATGGGCCTGAGGCCTTTTATTTGTTTGAAATAAACTTAACTAAACTAAACTAAACTAAACTAAAACTTAATCCGTATAAATCTGGTGTTTAGCTTAACCCTGACTCTCTCATCTTTAGAAACAGACTTCCTGTACCCTTTACTTAATTTTAGTCATAATCTTTAGAATACGAGTTCTATTATCTATTTTTGGTCACGTTTACCAAATCTCACATTTCTCCAGCTCAGTATTCTATATTTAGCATTGACTTGGACTAGTATTCTATATCTGCTTTAAATGGGCCCATTAGCCTTTTGCAGATTATTGATATAGATGTAGACATATACAGAATTCGCATGAAACCTCCGAACCCATAGTTATAAACGCATATGTTTCGTTCGGCCACATAGTTATTTGTGTTCAGTAGAGCTCTAGATCTAGGCATATGAGAAAAAATCCTGTGGAGAACACATTAGAAATGATAGACTCTACATGAAAGTAAAAACTTACATTACTAAGGTTTTTCTTTTCAGTAAAAATATTCATGAATGTTTAAGGTCAGGGTGCATTATGGGAAGTTTTCTGCATTCCTCAATTGAGTCAAATGTTATTTTTCAAACAAGAATCACTCCTTCCCTTCATTGTCTATATCTTCCAGTTTTGCACAAAGAGTGCACTTCTGTGCCTAGAAAAGACTTGTGAGAAGAATGTTTTGATAAAGTGTATAAAAAACAAGAAAATTCAGTGAAAAAAATCAGAAATTTTCAGAAATTTTTTTCACTGAATTTTCTCATTTTTTATACATTTTACAAAACAAACCTTCTCACAAGGCTTTTCTAGGCACAGAAGTGCACTCTTTGTGCAAACTTGGAAGATGTAGACAATGTGGGGAAGGAGTTATTCATGTTTGTAAAATAACATGCGACTCAATTGAGGAATGCAGAAAATTTCCCAACATGCACCCTGTCCTTAAGGTTCAGCTGGAAAGTAACATTTTGGTAAAAAATTGCTATACCGGCACATGTTATTTTCTGGTACAAAATTAAAGGCAGAATCAGATCTATAGGGGGTGACAAAATTACAGGCAACATGCATAATTGACCTACCAATCTATTCCTTACAATATCAAATACAATATCTCCCAAAAGGTTCACGATATGTTATAAATTGGTGAAGTTATTAATGATGCAAAGTGCGAAAATGGGTGAAATTTACTCCCGTCGAGAGCTACTTAGATTTTGAAAGTATAGCTCTCTATCGCTAGAATCAACAGCTTAAGAATCCTGACTTAAAAGAAAATTTCAGGGAATTCAGCTGACTCATGTTGCACATTATATACCTGAAAATGTATCCTACATCGCCATCTTTCATTCAGCTCAACTATAGAACGTCTCACTGCCCTATGTATCGATCAGGACTTCATTTTATTGGTCGTGTCAAAAGTTTTGGCCAGGTATATTCAATATGGCGGCTTGACGTTTCCCAAGTTGCGCATGTGTCGATAGTATTTCCGTTTAACCGCCATATTGGAAATGGGTATCAAACAAAAAACGATTAGAACTCCTGATCGCCATAGAAGCACATCCACGATCCTACATGCACGGGGAAAGTAGACACATATGAGCCCATATGTAGGCTACAGTTTGAGACAAACAGCAAGCCGCTGACTGGCGCTGATCAAATTTAGATGTCACAATTCTTCAGCTGGGGGATCCTCACGATGGAGAGCTATACTTTCAAAATCTAACATGGTAGCTCTCGACGTGAGTAAGGTGAAATATGTTTAAATTCTCCCAAATAATAAGAATGGTTACCATTCTTATAGAAAAATAATACATTATTGTAAAAATCTTTTGTTTTCCTTGAATAAAGTATGCACTTTTGTGATTTTTAGAAAATAGACATCACAAGGAATGACTCCTGTGTTACTTCCTGCGAAAGCTATTTGGATTTTGATATAATAGCTTTCCCACGGAGCATTTGGACAGCTCAATGATCGTGACCTTTGAAACTGAATTAAGTCGATCCGCGGCTTACTTTTGGTCTCTAACTGTGTCTTACATCAGTATCATCAATCCGTGTAAGTATTGGAGCGCTGGAGTACTTCTTTTTCGATCAAGACTTGAAATTCGTTAGTCGAGTGAATCCTTTTACTGCCAAATTCCAATATGGCGGTTTCTGCTCGGACATTTTCGTAAATCTCCGGAGGTTGTCCGAACCTAACTAATTCTCAAAATTCATTTCGTTCGTTGCGTATCTTGCACCTAGCAAACCGCCATATTGGAAATAGGTCTGTAAAACTTTAACTCGATGAACAATTTACAAGTCTTGATCGAAAAAGAAGTACTCCAGCGCTCCAATACTTACACGGATTGATGATACTGATGTAAGACATAGTTAGAGACCAAAAGTAAGCCGCGGATCGACTTAATTCAGTTTCAAAGGTCACTATTGATCAGCTGTTCACTTCTCCGTTTGAGAGCCATAAGTTTCAAAATCTAACATGGCTCTCGAAGTGAGTAACTCCTGTGTTGTCTGGAAACTTTGAAAGAAAATTTGGAAAAATAGAAAGTGTGAATCAGAATTTTCTGGAGTTCGCATTGAACCCCTACCAGATATTCTAAAAGAAGACAATGTAATGATACTTTCCTGGAAAAATCGAGGAAATTGATGCATGCCTTCATACTTTATTTTGTACCAGAAAATAACATGTGCAGATATAGCAATTTTTAATTAGATCTATTTTCCAGTGTAACTTAGATCTAATAAATTGCTTCTAACTAATAAGTATGAATACAAATAATCTTATTTTATCCCCCCCCCCTTAACATGACATGAAAAGAATACATAAAAAGATCTGGATTATACAGGACTATCCATCTTTCCAGAATTATAGATATAGATTATTCACTTACCCAACTGAAGATCTTCCGCGTGGACATCTTATGAGTTCCCGGATGATGACCCAGATTGTTCCTCTTTGCTCGGTTGTTCCAGACTGCGAGCTTACTCCTTACTTTGCATTTCTCTATATCATCAAATTATCTTATAAATTCGTAAAAGTCAGAAGTACTGCATCGATAAAAAATATATTAGAATATAATTAATTAATAATTTAACAATATAAAAATGCATGACGTATGGATGTTGAATCCATATTATTCAGTATTTGAATTTGATGATCGGGAGTAAAATATTTGAATAGCACAGCACCAATGAAGGAAAAGCTTGTATCCATGATGGCCGGTGATTCGTTGTCCATTTCGGCTTGATTTCTACAACCAATCACCACTGATCAACAGGGATTTGGACCAATGTAAGTGCACACATTATCCAAGACTTTATTGTTGTTTACTAAATTCACGTGTAGGAGCTAGATGGTTGCTCATTTGTCTCATAAAAACAAAAAATAAATTAAATTTTTATAAATTGTAAGCTGTCTGGCTGGGCAGAATATTCTAGGTCAAATTAGTGCACTCGGCCGGCAGCCTGGCTGTTCACATGATTTCCATCATAATGCATATCTAGGCTAAGACTAAACTTAGATCTAAACTAGTCTACCATTGTAAATGTAGTGAGTCAAGATTACATCTAATCTAAATTAGATTTAGGAGGTCCATCTAGACCCGGGATCTAAAGTGGGGGACAAAAATAAAACTCAACGTTCACAAGTTGTCACAATGAGCTAATTTCCAAGTTTCGTGTCTCAAACTCTCCCAAGCGGTAGAAAAATAATTCCCGTTCACAAAAGTAGCACAATAAATGAATCCAAAGCTTCATACCTGCAAATAATGGATAAATCCCTACCAAATCGAATGAATGTTTTCATGAATCGCCATGTTTGTTATCCGAGGACGGTTGACTCCCAGAATGCAACATCAGTTACCGCATTTACTCATGACAGGTTTCAAAATGGCGGAACAGCATTTTGAAAGCTGGCACATGTCATGTTGCATTCTGGGAGCCAATCCTCCGTTCCGGCGCAATCGGGCGACAAAATCACCTCAACATTTGAAGAGTCGGCATAACATGTGAATATCCACTTCAACTTTTGAAGTTCTTATTTGTCATTAGGGACACAAATTCCTTATATTTGGACTTACTCAGACGGAGAAAATAGAGCACTGAATACACTGAGGTAAGAATTTATTACATGTGCGACAGCATGTAATTTTCATAGCTTTTGCAATTCTTTATGATCCCCACTGTAGACCTAGATCTAGACTTATCAAGGACCTCGATAGATGTAGGCCTAGATCTAGGCTAGTCGAACAATTTGAGCCCTGATGAAATATAAATTTTGAGTCCATAAACACAGGGTAGATATCTACATACCAAATTAAGCGCGACAGTTGAACGCGCGGGCTACGGTACAACACGAGGGTAATGAAATTTGAGAAACTGATGTTTTCATTGTTTCAGAAAGATCTGGTCTAATTTCTAGATATTTTTATATATGAATGTCTGTAACAATAATAATTACAATATTCCTAGACAGTGAACTTGACGGTGAAATTCATGGTTAACGTCCACAAACCCTGAATGTAGTATACGGTATAATGCGCGGGTAAGTTGAGGTATATCGTAAATTCCAATTCCTTGTGTTGTACCTTACCTACCGCGCCCATTTACTAAAATGTTGTTCAGAAGATTTCAACATAAATATAAGAGAGGTTAAGCTACACATATAAATGCAAACTGTGAACCTGAACGCGTGAGTCCACGCTCAAGTACACGTTTAAGAAAATTTTCTGTTAAGCTACACACCTGTAACCATGTCAATGGACGTGGAGCTACATTTATGTGGTGACTGTCGAATATGATAATCTCATGTAAAAACCTGTAAACTTCACGCTGGCCCACATGAAATAAACAAATCTGACGTCGTTTATCTACGCTCATTGACGTTCACATTCAAGTTTTGTTAAATATGTGTAGCTTAACCTCTCTAATGTCCAAAATTAGAAACCTGTAATATCCATAAAATATTTTCAGATAACTCCAAGTATACAAACCAAGCACTGTCAACTGTCAAGTAGAGTAAGAATATGGAGCAGTTTCAAGCTACAACCTCTTCTGCACCTGTCGTTATGCAAGTTCCAACTGGACAACTGCAGGCTGCAAATTCAAATGGAGCAGAACAAGGACAGCAGGTAGTATATGCAACAAGTTGTTTTGATGAATATGAGAGTGAAACATGCAAATCTAGGGCACTGACGGTTTCATAATTTTTCAGTTCGGTTCATGGTTTTACCTTCAGTTCTAATTGACTAGATGCGAGTAGAAATAATCTTGATTTACATCATTAAGTATTCAAAATTCAGTCAAAGTGATGTCATATTTGACAAATAGGAGTCACTGCTGAGAAGCCCCACCCCCGCGCTGATAGCCCTTCTAGCCTTTCCCATTGCATTATCAATATGTTGTTTCAAGTTACCATTTAAAATTGACATTCCATTTATCACATATTTAAACATTTAAACATTAAAGAGAGAATAAGACCTCGAGTGAGCAAGTAACCTTTAACCAAAATTGTTTGAATTGTAGTTTTTTTGTTGCTCATACCATACTTTGCTATTTCTACATTTCATACATTATTTCTTGAAAACAAAAGATTTTTACAATGAATCATTTTTGTGTCAATATGAGAAGTTTGATATGTGCATTGTTCACAAGAAAAGTATTTTTTCAAACTCAAATGTTTTATTTTGTGTCATTTTAAACCTGTGTATGTGAGCGCCTTACAATGTGAACACAACTGTTTTTGGGGTTTTTAGATTGTTCAAATTGGGGGCCAACAGTTTGTACTCCAGGGACTGCCGCAGGGCCAAACAATTCAAATCCAGGGGCAGAATGGCCAACTACAACAGGTAAGTGTTGTAGTTCATATTTTCTCATCATGGTGCTCACTAGCTAATTAGTCTTCAAAAGTTAATTTGGATGCATTGAATATTTAAAGATTTTTTCAAAATGTACAGAATTTTGTCCATTTCTATTTCATCATTCACCTTGTTTTATGAAATTCCCCATGCTTAACCCTGCATGTGCTTTGCATTTATAACATTGCCACATTTATAATGCTACTGTTCCAGTTTGTGATAGGAAAGATATACATGCACTTATATATACTTAAATGCAGGTTTTTAAGAATTTTACCAATGCACTGATAATATGTTTTTACTATATGCACTTAAGATTTTTGAAAACTGTTATCATTAAATAATAAGTTATTATAAAACTTATCTTTAACAGATGATTCTAATTCAGTGTCTTCAATTCCCTCAGGAAACATCAACAAAATTTTCCAAGGCAAAACCAATTCTTTAAGTGTATAATGTCACTGATTCAATAGAGTTTTCACTAGTACATATCTTAAAGCATACTATGTTATAATAGGACAATAGTGAAAACTTTATCAAGTTTAACAAGTTATTAGGTAAGATGTTAGTTGTTCATCTAAGCATACCCTTATCTATTTAGTTATGCCTGTTCTAAAGTTGTTTTTCATTACTAATAAGCTTGTTTTTACTTAAGTCATACGAAAAGTCGTATTTATGTCATAATAAATCACCTGGTAGGGACCATTAACAGAAACTTCATGAAGCTAGAATTCCTAAATCAATTATTGTAACCATGTATATATATAGTTAGAGAACAATTGACTTGTAATTTTTTGATTAATACAGTATGAAGTTTCTGTTTCTATGTCAATTGAGATGATACACTTAATAATTTCCCATGTTCTTAATTACACTTACAGGCACTACAAGGTCAGACTCTTCAGGTTGGTGGTCAAGGAGGCCAACAGGTATGTACAATGTAGTATTTTTATGTCTTCAACTTTTTATGGACACTGTTCTGCTATTGCTGTTCTACAGTCAGCCTCTGTAACAAATAGTAGATCGTGAAATTTTGCAAGTTAATGCCTTGTCTCTTGGTCTTCAATGTGCTGTGCAATGTTATCTCCGGAGTGTTCACTAAAGCTAAGTTCACACCAACGGCGCTTTGATGGCGCTTTGATGTGGCGTGCGAATCGGCTTTGTACGTCGCATCAAAGCGCCATTGGTGTGAACTTAGCTTAACAGAGAAGTAGATTTTAAAAAATAAATTTTTCGGTCCCACCTCGTTTTCTGTAGATCCACCCCAGGGTTATCGTAGACCAAGTGATCCCGTTTCATTTTGCATTACTATGTAAACTTAGCAATATACATGAAACCCTGTGATTACTGTTTTTCTAGTACAGTTTTAATTGCTAATTCTACTTATGTATTTGAAAAAAAACAGTTTTAAAAAATATGATGTGTTTGTAGGTTCAGATCATAAATGCTGGCCAGTTACAAGGACAAGCACAGACATCAACATCTGGTCAACAACAGGTATGTCCTCATTCTATGATCCTTTTGCAAAATTTACACGTTATTTAAAAAAAAACTTGGATAAAGAAACATGCATCAAAATCCCTCATAAACGTAATGCAATTTTTAATGCTTGAAAAGTCTTAAATGAAGTATTCACTACAAATAAATTGTTTTGAAATGCAAAATTTTCTATTATTTTAGTCAAGATGTATGATTTTCTTTTTCAACCAATCACAATCTGTTATAGGTTGTAATCCAGCAACCTGCAGCAGGTCAACAGGTTCAAGGTCAGGGTCAGTTGATTCAGTTAGCAGATGGACAGACTGTCATGTACCAACCAGTGGCAGGAAGTACCACAGAAGGTCAACAGCAACAACAGATCCAAACTGTTCAAACAGCAACTGGACAGAGTGAGTAAAGGTTTCTAAAAAAAGTTAATTTCTGCATTCTTTTCCATATTTAAGACTGTGAACCATGGGGTTGGAAATGCTTGAATTGTGCCAAGAAATGCTGAAAGCCTTGTTTTTTTAATGAAATCCATGAATAGCTAATTAGAATCCATAAACTGAATGAGTTGCTCAAAATTATTATTTGTCCAAGCATTTTTGTCTATAATATACATATGAACATTATGTGTCTGTCATTTCTATTTGTGTGTCTAAATATTATGTGTCTTGTAGGCCTTATCCAAGTTCCACTGAGTCAGGCAGGGCAGGTCATACAAGGGGGGCAGGTCATACAGGCAGGGGCCACAACAAACACTGCCACCGCGACACCCACATCTCAGCCACAAATTATTACGATACCTGCCACAGGGGGCCAAGCTGGCAGCATGATCATGGTGAGTATATATGTATATAATATTAGTGTCAAACATCAATCAGTAATCACCGAAGGCAGTTAGATTATATTTCTGTAACCCATCAAACAATTGATTTGAATAACATCCATGTTTCATCAGAATTTCTGACAACAAGCAGAATTAATGGGAATAACAGGCAAAATTGCTTGAGCTTATTTTTTTTAACGTGAAAGCGATTGAAAATTCCTCGAAATAATGGGCAATTTTGGAAAACACAACTAGAGGAAATTGCCCACTGCTAATGAAACCAGTCATTGCACTTTATATGTACAAATGTTGATTGATACATAATCCCCCATTGTAAACTGGATATCATCTATACAAACTGTCCAAAATGCATTTGTTGACTCTTCAGAAATTCTAAAAAGTATAATGATAAAATGATATGTTATTCAGATGATCCCAGGGGCTAATGGGGTACCCACAATGCAACGAATCCCCCTTCCTGGTGCACCAGAGGTCCTTGAGGAAGAGCCTCTTTATGTCAATGCGAAGCAATATCACAGGATACTGAAGCGCAGGCAGGCAAGGGCTAAGCTAGAAGCTGAAGGGAAAATACCAAAAGAGCGAAAGGTTTGTCTAAAACATTCAATTTCAACTACTTAACATGCTTACCCACGCCCGGTGATCGTGAATATGGGACGGAGGGGGGGGGGGGAGCAGGCAATTTCTGCTAGGAAATTCAACAAATCTAGAAGATTTATTTTTTCAAGAAAAAGTTTACTATTGAATTGCTAAATGGATAGGCGCACGGTATGGTAGAATATGTTAGGTTTTCTGGGATTTTTTCTGAAACGATACGCATCTAAGGTATGAGATCTATTAAAAAAGGCGCAAGGCCATCAACAGGCACAAATCAACGTTTTTGCTATAAATCAAGCAACAATGGTCTGGACGACCTGTAATAAATACTTGTAAGTGATGTTATCATAACTAAATTAATGTCATTGCTGAATTTATAAAATAAGTTTCCATATGTGAAATAAAAAATAATCGAAAATTATGAATTTGGGACGGAGGGGGGGGGGACGGAGGGGGGGAGCAATATGTAATATAAGACATGATTAGAGATGTTTCACGACTTTAAGTCCTTTTACTCCAAATGTCCCCATTTTTCAGTCTCCAGGGGTATATCATCTTACTAAGTTAATGAGTTCATTTTTCAAATACAAGAATTCGTGTGAAGTTGTTTCACTTTATAGAATTATTACTCCCCCCTCCGTCCCCTCCCCCCCTCCGTCCCATTTTAATTATTTTCGATTATTTTTTATTTTATGTATGGAAACTTATTTTATAAATTCAGCAATGACATTAATTAAGTTATGATAACATCACTTACAAGTATTTATTACAGGTCGTGTAGTCCATTGTTGCTTGATTTATAGCAAAAACGTTGATTTGTGCCTGTTGATGGCCTTGCGCCTTTTTAAATAGATCTCATACCTTAGATGCGTATCGTTTCAGAAAAAATCCCAGAAAACCTAACATATTCTACCATACCGTGCGCCTATCCATTTAGCAATTCAATAGTAAACTTTTTCTTGAAAAAATAAATCTTCCAGATTTGTTGAATTTCCTAGCAGAAATTGCCTGCTCCCCCCCCCCCCTCCGTCCCATATTCACGATCACCGGGCGTGTTACCAAGACAAAAAAGGGAAAGAGACGAAAAGGAATGGCAGGTTTCATGCAAGACTAGTTTACTAAAAAGTTTTCTAAACTAAAAATTCATTATTTTAAAAATGTTTCAGCATTTTCTCTGTTAGTTATACAAAAGTAAGTTATGATTGTATTGTTGAATCATTGTTTAAACAAACATTTCAACCTTGTCTTTTCAAAAGTAAATTATAATTTTATTGTTGAATCATTGTTTTAACAAACATTTCAACCTTGTCTTTTACAAAAGTAAATTATGATTTTATTGTAGAAATATCTCCACGAGTCCCGTCACAAGCATGCAATGAACAGAGTGCGTGGAGAAGGTGGCAAATTCCACAACAGTGTAACAAGCGGTAACAGCAATAATGACTCCATGTTGGATCATTCCAGTATTGAAGCAGATATACACAATAATAGCCAGGTATGTGTTTCTTTATTTCCATTTTATAAGATGATCCCGTAAATCCAAGCCCCTTCTGGTGAACAAAGAAAATGAGGATAAATCGGCTAGATATATGATGTCACACCTTTTGGGCAGCAATATTTGTGTCCAATTAATATTTGTATCAGGTTTTTGAAAATAATCTAATCCCTTTTCTGCCCTGAAAATTTAAGAATAACAACATACCCAAGGTGGCATGATTTGCTGGTAGCATGGATTGGTCTGTATTACATTATATAGTACTTTTGCTTTCTCAAGTTGTTTTATTGAGCTTTTTCATTTTGTATATATTTAACATTTGCATAGTCAAAAGATGTCTCCACAGTATTGAAGCAGTTCCACCCAGCAAAGAAGAATTATGAATTTATATAATTTTTGAAATCATTTTTCAGGATTCCTAAACAGGATTTTTTCTCAATCAAGAGAAATATAAAGTACATTAAATATATGAACTATTTTTTACTTTTCAGAATGGTCAGATTAACAAGACTATAGCAGACATGTTACATACGGCACAACAAGGCACTAGTTTAATCTTAAATAATGACTCTGCTACACCTATGAGACTACATACTGAAACCACAACAGGCACCACCACCTCTTAGTGTAGGAATGGATCCACAGTGTGGTAAGATGGAGCCACATTGTTGAGAGGGTCGTAGTGTTGAAAGGTGGAGCTATGTATCGCAGCAGTGAGGCAACAGACTTGTGGTATAGATCTCAAAGTGCAGGGGTAGAGCCACATAATGGAGGCATAGAGCCACATTGTGTAGTCAAGAAGCCACATTATGTAGGCCAGCTGTGCAACCATAGAGCCACATTGTGTAGTTTTGGAGCCACATTGTGTTTTCACGGAGCCACATTGTTTTTTCATGGAGCCACATCTTGTTTTCATGGAGCTATTTTGTGCAGACATAGGGCAATGTTGTGTAATTATGGAGCCACATTGTGTATTCATGGAACCATTTTGTGTAGACCTGGAACTAAATTGTGTTTTCATGGAGTCACATTGTGTAGCCATTAAGTCCAAAGTGCCTCATTTTAAGATGTCATAGTGGTTATTATTGAAATGTGAAGTCATATATCTTCATTTAATATTTACAAATGCAGAAATATGTGGTATTTCAATGTAATTAAGCAGAAAATGGATGTACATGGGAAACATCAACTTTAAGTGTTTATAGCATTATATATACTGTCCATATAAGAAAGATAATGGGCAACATTTCAATAATGACTGCTAAACCAACATACTTTTCTCAGAATTCATAGTTAAAAAAGAAAAAACTGTTTTCCATCACAGAATACATTTAATCTGCACATATTACAAAGTGACAAGTGATAGGAAATTTTATTAATTGGAAAGCATATTTGAGTATTTTGGGTCAATTAGTGAAGATTAAATTCATATCTTTAGCACTGTTAATTACTTACAGGAAAGTTGAAAAGAGGGATACTGTATTGCATAATAAAAAAGTAACATTTGAAAAATGAACAGTTTACTAGATATTCATGTATTTATTTTTTAAATATGATATGTATGAAATATCACCCTGGTGAAAGTGGATGTTAATAAATCAGCAAGTGAATTGTGAATTATAAATTATATTTTAAATTATATTTTACACAATTGCAAAGTATATCCTGTTATTAAAATATAAGTAAAGTGTGAAGCATTCTCAAATTTATGAATCCAAAAGTCTATTGTTCTATCATTATCACATCATAATATCAACAATTGAAAATTATGAATATTTCGATTTACACTTACATTGGCATAATGTCTGAGATAAGCATTAGTTTTCCTCATCTTAGCAATCAGACTATGATGGCTACCATGTACAAGGATAATTGAATATTTCTGTGTTTTTATAATTGTTGAAACAGTGGATATTATGACATCATAATTGGAGAGCAAATGAATTCACTGGTAGCCCTGATGGATATCAGTGTTTTAATTGAATTTGAAAAAGAATGTATGCAATTGGCTTAGACTTAAAAGTTTCTCTATAAAGTCATATACCGGTAGTTTTAATAGTACCATGTTATATTAACTTGCTATATTACTGGTGTACTTCAGTACACATGAGCTTATATGTTTGCTTGCTTGTACATCATGTGTATATTTATTTTCATCATTCATGAAATGAACTGGATGTATTCTAATAATGAAAAACAATTGTATGTGTAAATAAAAATTATAGATATATATTGTAACTAAATATTTACATGTTTAAACTATTTGCACTTTTATGAACAATCAATACATTTTAGGGACCAATACAAAATATCAAATGTTTTTCAGGATAGTAATAATTAAAAGTGTTGAAATGAACTCTGTGATATGTTATTTCAATGTCCATGAGCTTTAACAAAGAGGTGGTCTCTTATGTTCAAATACCAGTCTTTCATATGCAATGGAAATAGATAATAGGAAGACCAAAGGCTAAATGCAAGCCTATTAAAATACCTAATAAAACTGATATTTTGTCTTGATCCCTAGGGTAAATAAAATGGAAAAACTATTTCTTGGTTGACTAAATTAGGGACTGGGTTACCCATGCTGAGCAGCAGATTTTGTCAAAATTGTAAATAGAAGTAACAAGGGTACTGCTCCATAATTTAATTTTGACCTGTAGGACTGAAGTCTTTCCTGATATCTGCTTGCTGAATCACTGATGTTGCGTGCTAACTGATCAAAATGTGTCACACTCTGCCCACCTTAATGGTTCAAAGTAACTCCAAGAATAGTCTTAAAACACAGCATCAGGAAAACATTATAAGTACATAAGTTTGAGCCTTTTCTTGGAGCTATGTTTTAGAGTGAGCCAAATCATAAGCGGTCACGATGGGTTCTTATAAGTCCACATGTAATATCAGATTATGTTATCAAAATATTAATGATCACACATCACTGAATATTCCTATTTGTGAGGACAATATCCCTGCGTCTGTTTGCCATTGTACAGATGGTAACTGCTGCTTAATTTAATATCGTCATCGATTTGATGACCAGTTACGTTCGGATCCACTTTGAGTACCAAGGGACATTCACCAGGTGACGTCATGTGATATTGCTGGTAATCATGTGCATCAACATGAAATCCGTCATTTCTTGACTTCAATTGCATTCATCGTGTGGGCCTGCTCATTTATATGCACCTAGTATACCCATAGCTACACTATGTTCCCGTGCTTTAAGTCTAAGAGCCGCAATACTCGAGCTTCTTAGTTCTGTTTCTTGGTGACATGTCTCTAGGCCCTGGGCAGTCCCTAATGAGGTCATCCCGATGTTCATTTGCGCATGCGCACTCATCTGTCCCGGCACACCAGGGTGTTGCATCTGACCCTGGTAACCATTGAGACCAGCGGCATTGAGACTGTTTGCATGTGCCAAGTTCATAAAACTAGGTAGAGTTGCCTGCCCGGGGGCCATACATGAATTCGGTGGCGCCATCTGATATTGTCCCTGAGAGTTTTGTGCCCAACCTCCACATTGTTGGATCTGAAAATCAAAGAAATATAAAGAAATATGTGATTGACAATGACGCACTTGGTTGTCATGAAAACGATTAGATTAGACACCATTGTCCTTTAAAACGATTTTAAAATATAATCTTTAGTGAATGCATTAAAACTTCACAAATTCTCACTTTTCACATAGTATTATAGTGACGATGAGGATTCATAGCTGCTTAGCTAGATATATACCTGTGAGTAGTTGTCTGTCCTGACCGGTGCAATGGGCATCTCTCCATAGCCCGGTGATGTTGCCATCGCCCGCATCGTCTGTAGTTGCCCGTATCGTTCACGCTTTCTCCACTTCGCTCGTCGGTTTTGGAACCAAACCTGAATGAATAAGCATATATTTAAATTCAATCTTATCTACTTCGATACCAGGCACAATGGGTTTTGGTTAGATTTAAAGGTTTTAAAATAAATAATTTCTGTTCATTCATTCAATTCATTCATTTAGATCATCGCAAAGAAACAAAATTCTCAATAATATCACTGAGATTGATTTTAGGGGGTTAATTTGAGATGTTAAGCTTCACAATTGACACTTTGCGGAGGTTAGATACACAATAGAGGTATCCATCAACGCTAAAGTACAGAGGTATCACTTTCTCCATCTCTCTTATTACTAATTACCAGATAACATCCCTTTTTGGGCTTTTCCTAAAAATGCCTCAATACAATATTCACTCTGTACATGGCCCTTAATGGTATTATTATTTTTGGAGAATTATGTTTTCTAGCCAGGATGAGTGGAGTAATGGTTGTTTTGGTGGGGTTATAACATCACTGGTCGTGTCCTGTACAGATGGGGTGCTGGGGCGAATACAGGGCAATTACTTGGAGTAGTTTGTTTGGCTTATCTACTCTTGTTACAGAGGTTTGTTTTGGTTACATGGCCACATTATTAGCAGCTTCATAGGGGCTGCTCTTGCAGTGGAAACCTCTGTTTGAAATATCATGTATCTCTTTCTATGGACCGTTCTTTGAATTATATTATATACGACCTTATTCATCATTACGATTAGAGCATTTGGGTATTTATTCGTGAATAATCGCGTTATTTTTTCAAATTCCCCTCTGGTCTACACCAGAACGGTTTTGAAATATGGCTGTGTGAGATTTTAGTTGTGAGCACATCTACTTCTGGCCTGTCAACACCCAATCACCAAGATACACTACAACTTCTAACCAAACAACTTAAACCTCTATCACTCTACAGCAATGTCGAATCAAAAGTTTGAAAGAAGTTTAAGTCGAAATATAACAATGTAATCATTGGTAGATATTTAAATAAAAACGTTTTCAGCGGTAGACATTCAGTTTTATTTGTATCCTCTCAATTAAAATGAACTTATTTTTCGATTAAATATCACCTCAACAAAAGTTTGGATACATCATAAAAGTTCCAAGTGAAAATCTTGGAATAGAAAGTGAAAAGTGTTAAAATGGAAAATAAAAAAACTTGCAATAAAAATTTGAAAGTCTTGCAATTATGTTGAATTCTTGCTGTGAACGTAGTTAGAGTGTGCGTTAATTATGGTAACAAAAGCTAAGTAAAAGCCATATGCTGGCAAAAGATATTTATTCAGATATCTATCTGCCTAGCTCTCTCCTTCAAATTCTCTATTTTCTCTTCCAATATTTTCTTTTCTCAGTGGGTTTTCTGAGAATGCGTTTCTCAAAACACGACCTCATGTGGACCTGCTGGAACACTAGAAACAGTCAACACGTTACTAGAATTGTAATGTTCATTTTCTGCTCCTTTACTTTCAGAGAATTTGAGTTGAGGTCTTATACATATTATGTTTGGGTTGGAGATTGTATGTTTTTAAAAATGTCTAGCGATTCAAATTTTTATGGAGGTCAACCAATATCATTGAAACATATAAATTCATATCAACCGAGTTTAAAGCATTTTAAAGATGATCAATTTTTTGGCCGGATTGGCTTAACTTTTGATATGGTTTGTGGGGTTTGTTTATGGTTTTAGAATATGTTTTAGTCAGGGCTGATATCTTTCATCGTTAACTTTTTTTATATTGTTCAGTCAAAAAACGCTCATTGTCACGTTCTTGTGCTTTATTACTACCTTGATAATGGCAATTCTCCGGACAATGGCAATCGGACAACCAAACATTGTCGAAAGTACACCTCCTTTCAATTCAAAATTCTAAGCATGTTTTAATAAGTTACGCTCTTTAAAAATGACTTTCACTGAAAATCTACGATGTTTAAAATAATGACAATTATTTGGATCATTTCGCAGATTTCCCCGATGTAGCCACATATTTATTATTCAGTGTTGCAATCTGCCAGGAAGCACCGGTCTATCTTTTCACACGTATTAAGATAACGAGACCTGATCCTCGCTATCTGCGGTGTGAGAGGCGCCTGACTTCAATTTATCTAGCAAACTTGTTACAATTGTTGAAAAGATATACTGCCATTTATCAAACAAACCGTTCCCTTATCGACGTTCTTAGACTTTTTCTCGGGTCAGTTACTATTCGTTGGCCCGATATATTTCTCTCTGAAGTCTATCTTGATGCATTTGAAAAATATTGTGTTACCCTATATCGCTATCTCTTCTCTATCAAATAGAATTTTCGCACTTTGTCGTTATTAACATTTTTCTGTAATCTATGTTGAAATAAGTTAAAAATTGTATTTTAAGTATGTGATTTTGTTGAGAGTTTTCTCAGGTCGTTGAAGGATAAGTTGAAGTTTCGGTTCACAATTCTGATTCAGAGATTGTAATTTTTAACGAGAGTTGACAGAGTGATTTATAAGAGGCTTGTGTTTATTTGTTGTTCATTTAGTTAGCAAATTCAATTATATCTGGTTAACCAAAACCCAGTTTAAAATACTTAAAGGAGTAAACGAGAAAAGGATTTATTATGGGACGGAACACGAGAGAAACATTTTAACCACTTTAAGTTACGTGTTTACTTTTGTAAGCATTTTAATTGTACACCTTGTTTTCCTACTTTATTTATTTATTTGTTACGTTTTCCAATATTTGATATATTGGTTTAAATAAAATAATGTAATATTGATTTTCTGAAGTCTTTATTTGTGTCGTCTATTTTTACTTTAATCTAACCAATCCTGTTTTTCTGTTTTTACTTTATTCTTACCAGTCTTAAAATACATTTGTAAAAATGTAATTTGTGATTCTAATTTACAATTATTTATCAACCGTTTTTTTCATTACCATTTCAAAAACTTTTTCTTTCATTACTATTTCAAAAACTTAAGAACCTTTAATATCTTTTCACAGTTTGCAGTTATAAAGATTTTTAAATACTCGATTCTTCAAAACAAATGTTTCAGAGCATTTCAGAACAATGAATACATTTTTGAAGTTAAGATAATAGATAGGGTTGACAAGAAATTTTAGAAACCAAAACGGAAATGAATTTTTAAAAAAAATTTGAAAATGTTGCTGTTTATGTCAAAAGGGCTATTCCCGGTTTGGAGAGCGAAGTTCATCACTCAAATTGAGCATTATCCCTGCTTCGGACAAATTTGATTTTTAAGTTTTTTAGGTTTAAGTTTATTCCAATTTTAACATGTTACATATAATCATCTACAATTTAACGCAAGGCGTATCTTTTTTACATAATATACATTTGAATGCCTTCCTTTGAATAGTTATAATCTAATTTGGATGATATTTCTCGATTTTTCATAAAATAATTATTAGCGCAGTACACTGCTAAACCTCTTTCTCCAAATCGAGACTTGTATTTTATTGAATCGGTCTACTACACCGCTATCCGTGCTTCGGACACTTGTGATATTTTACATCTTGTAGATTTAAATGTCCTCTTTTGAATATTCATAATTTAATTTGGGTGATATTTCCATATTTTTCATTAAAAATTATTTGCCCAGGAGACTTGTCCTTTCTCACCAAATTGGCCGCTCCAATTTTAACAACATTTAGTTTGCACAAATTATGTTTTAAAATTTGTATCTATCTTTATTACTGTTGGCAAATTAAGTATGATAAATTATTACATAAAACTGTGGAAAATGAATGAAAATGCTTCAGAAGATTAAATAGACTTTCTACCTTGTTTTTATTGCAGAATGTTGCATCTCAAGCTTTCTAGTACTTGAGAATCATCATAGTTAGGCAATTCTATCATATACCAATATGCTTATTTACAGCAATGTGGTATTACAGCAATGATTATTATGACCCAATTTACTTAATTAGTCATCTCCTATCTAATGCACAGGATTCTTATTCATTTATTTGTCTTGGAATTAGTCAGATGAATATAGCCTTGTTGTTCTTGAGGCCAATCGTAATTGAGATGTATCAGAGGAATACGCTAGTGCGTGTGTGGTGAATGAATCGCTCACAGACACATTTTTGACTGGTTTAGTGGTGTGATGTGCAAGTTGCCCAATATTGAGTTGATTTAACTGTTGCATATTGCCCAATCCGTTGTAAATTTTATTGATTGTTGTTTCATAATTTATAACCTTTAAATTAAAACATTGCATTCTTATCTTTTAAACAATAAAGGATTTTTATTTTACGAGAGTGGCACATACAATCATCCCGCGAGACACAATATGTTATGCAAAAATCACATTATCATTATTTTATATGTGCACATATTTGTAAAATGTCAACCAAATAATTCCCAAACGTATTTTAATTTTACTTTTGAAAGTGATACCAGTGTCTAGTCAAGTGAACTCATTTACAATCAAGGCGCGTTTCTCTCAAATGATAAATTTTCGAGAAACGCATATAAACAAGACGATCCGTTTCATTTCAGTATGTTATAATAATTCGATACATGAATTGAGAAAATTACTGATATTGTGATTCTTTGTCATATTCTGATATTATTCAAGAAGTTAAAAGTACAAGTTCTTCCGGAGTGAAAACTATTTTATTAAAGTCACATATTTGTGCAATTCACGTTGTTACAGAATGTTATGGTGCCACTTTTTGTTAACCAGTAAATAAAGTGATTAAATTATAAAATAACTGTGAATTGTTTTAAACATTAATTGCGTGTAAATTACTGTATAGCATTCGAGAAACTCCCATTCTGATGTTAAGAAACTATATCTAGTGCCTATATTGTCCCATCCAACTTGTCTCTTAATTGGCCGATCAATTTCAATTTCTTCCATTTGATTAAATCATTTGCACAAGTGATTTTATCCTAATTATGAAACTGTTTCAATTTGCAGATGTTTGCATGGCACCGGATGTATCCACCACGAGAAAACATACTTTTATCTCGATTCAATATCTTTTAAAAACATATGCTTTTGACATTGCAATTCCGAACTTTGTAACAGCGCGTCTGTGCGCCAGACTCGTTGTTTTTTCTACTACTGCCTGTCCGAATCACTTAATGCATTCGCCCCTCAGTCTTTATTCACACCGTCTGAATACAATTAAAGCTAATTCAATTGATTACCGGCATTATGCCTAATCTAATGTTTATATTTGCTTACAGGGGGAAATAAATTCAATTTCCAAGTGATACTGTGATACCCCACTCACCCGGCAAGTTAGTAAGAAGTTTTAAAACAGTGCAATGTTTCAGTAGCATTTGTACCATAAAATAGTTCCATTATGGAGAATCAGAAGTTCTGTTTAAGTAGCATACGAACTAGACATAAAACAAGAAATAATATTAAAATGTAACACATAAATGATTCAAAAATTGTAGAGTTAAATGTTGCAAGGGAATGGCCCAAGAACCTCAGCGGCATTTATTTATAACTATATATATTTTAAACGATTCTCTTCAATTTGCCAACGCTAATTATAGCTAAGCACATCAATGATATATGTTGTATTTTGAACGGTTTTAAATGATTCAAACGGCGAAAAAATCTCAAAAAAGTTCTGAAACTTCTAAAGTTCTAAAACTTTAAAATGAGAAAAATTAAATTATATTCCTTCCATTACTAATTGTTTTAATTAAGGTAGGCCGAGATGGTATCTGGCTAATAACTTTGAGCTCTTATTACTTGAAAGATTGCATAAAATCCGTCCCACTCCGCCCTCCTTAACTGGCATCTTCTTATTATACAGGGTTTCAGAGTTTTCCTAACTTTGAAAGAATTCCAACTGGAATCAAGAAAATCTCAAGTATTTAAAAATAATTACCAAGAGCGCTGTGGGAAAATATTAAACTGAGTTTAACTGAGAAAGCGTGCAGGTAATTGTGACTTAATCAAGAGCAAACGACTGTTGTATTCTTTCAATCAAACTTCGTTAGTACCCTAATCCAACCCTAATTCAATTTGTGAGTAAGTTGGAAAATGTTGAACTGAAACTTTCATGATCACTTGCTTATATACGTGATGTGTGTTGTTTTATGGTCGTGAAAATTAAATATAATTACAACCTGCCATTGCCTCCAATTAAATATAGCTCTAGTCTCTGTGGAAATCGTTAAAATACATCACTTGTATATATTTATGCCATTTATATTAGATTTTCCTGATCTCCTATTTTGACATTTTAGAGGTACAGAGACGCCAGAATAACTGAATGGATAAAGTAACAAAGTTGGTGTCAAAATGCCCAGTGGTTTGGTTCATATATCCGCGCAAGAAAATAACCCGGGGCAATTTCTAATACAAGACACCTCTAAAAGTTACCACCTCTCGATTAGGGCAAGAAAAAATACCAAGGATACCACTTGCTTTCCCACGTTGTTTCTAACGGCACAATGGTTTCGTCTTCAACTCATTATTTAGGCTCATTACTTGACAGAAAGCCCTCGTGTTCCTCATTCACATTTCTGTATAGTTTTTCTCGACGTTGGTCATTTCATAAGTTACCTTCTTATTGATGATATGCATATCGTGATAAATTCAGGCCAATTATGCATATCGTGATAAATTCAGGCCAATAAATAGCCAATAATAGTCTTCAAGAAAGTGCAATTGGGGCATGTTTTTCACGGGCTTTAATATGTCAGTGCAAATCCAGAACTTTGATAATTTCGCCAAAAATCCAGTTTCATCAACATTGAGCGTTGAAAATAAATGGCTACAGACATGAAATTATAAATACGTTTGACGTACCTGTACACGTGCTTCTGTCAAGTCACACCTGAGTGCGAGCTGCTCTCTTGCGTACACATCAGGGTAATGTGTCTTTTGAAAAATCCTTTCCATTTCTTCAAGTTGAAAACTAGTGAAAGTAGTCCTATTGCGCCTCTTTTTGCGTTTCATCTCGCTTGTTTCGTCGTCCTTTTCCGAACCATCCTTACCGGGAGAGAAAGGCCCGGGGGAGTCGGAGCCAGGAGACACCGGCTCTGTGTCAATCCGCGGGTGGAAATTTTCAATATCTGAACGAGATTTGACATCTTCTGGAAGGAAAATAGATAATAGAATCAATTCCAAGGGGAATAATTTAGAACAATAATCCAATGCTGGCGGTAGTGACCAATGTGTTAAGATAAAAATATGTATCCAGTTGAAAGCCCATGATTTTAGCAATCAATTACACTTTCTTTTCCCATTATAGTTTTAACTGAAAATAAGTTGGTTTAATGTATAGTAGATGTATAAAAATATCGCCTCTCTATTCAATAGACCAGAAAATGTAATATAATGTTTTATTGTTATTTCCAAGCGTTTTTATACGATGTTGAAAACATGAATAACTATAAACACAAAAGAAATGGGTGTCGATGTTGTAATTATATTAAATGAAATATAATCTCTAGGCATTTGAAGCATAAAATAAAGCTGAAACAATAGAATTACACTGACTACTTGAAAAAATTAATTCACTTCATCCTATAATATACTTGTGATATTATGTTGTGTTACTGGTGTAAAAGACGTGTGTAATTAAGAAATTATGTCAATTGATTTTGTAATTTTATTAAATAAAATATAATTTAGGCATATGGTGCATAAAATAAACAATGGAATTACATGGACTACTTGAGAAAATTAATCCACGTGATTTAGATTATAGCTTAAAATGACAACTAGGGTTGAATTTCAAAATCCAATGGGTGAACATTCTCTCAGAGCCCAACTGTAACATATGATTTGGTTGTACCGATCATGCACCTTATCCATGTTCCCGATGAGCCAGAAACAATGTTTTGGGGATGGTTGACAAGTATTGCTATAACAATTTCCATGTCTGTCCTCTGATAGTATTTTCGCCAGACGAAGTTGCTCGGCTGCTCGACACATATGATGTGTTATAATTATTTTTGTAAACATTTTGGCAAATATTTTATCAGTAGCACTATAAAATCGACTTTTTGGTCTTGTAAATAATGTAGACTTACAGACTAGAATTCGATTTTAAGTTTTGTCTTTAAAAATGATAAGATTATCGTATTTTATGGGCTTCTTGGGAATACTATATTTCTCATGGGTGTAGGTTCCCAGAAGGGCGTATCGAGTAATTAATTAATATGCAGTGAGAGGGATTATCTCGGAGATAATCCATATCCATGCTGATGCCATCATCGTTATGTATATGATAGTTTAGATGTGATCATGATATCACTAATTTCGCACTTATTATAAGGATGAAACAAACGCCAGTAATCAATTGCCACTTTCTGATTTATGGCACTTCATTTTCCTGATGATATGGTAATCTCTTCATCTAACTTTAATGTTCATATAGCAGCCATAACATGTACAGTGTATAAAGTTAAAATGAATTAAAAAACATTTTAATTTTTGTGATCTCACTTAAAGTGTGAAATCAATAGACACACAGCACAGCAAAACATCGGTCAGTGGGGCGTTCCATTTTTCGTTGCAAGAAGAAACAATGTCACATGTTGATGAAGTTTCAAATGGTACCGTCTGACCCTGTAACTTAAAACCCAAACTTATTGTTAGAGAATTCTCTCACAACCTATTCACAAATAGTTGAACTTGACAAGCGAGCTGAAATAATGTCGACTGGAGCTTATCGTTTAAATGCTAAAATTAATTACTATGATTACATTGGAGTCGGAAGGGGGATGGCGTTAGGGGATACCCCCCCCACTTCCCAGATTTTTTAGATTTGAAACCGAGCCTAGAATGTCTTGAATTGAAAGCTCTATAGCTAATTAAAGGCAAAGTGAAATAATGACAAAAATGATACTATGCCAGTATATCTCATGTCTCATATTATATTTAATTCTATGCCATGTATAGTTTCTCAGGGAGCCATACAATATGGAAATACTTTGAAGAGTAAGTGCAAAATGTATATTTTAGTAATAGTTTTTTAGTTAAGGTTGAGTTAAGTTTTCTAAAAACACATTTTATCTCGTTTTTATTATTGAGAATGTTGTGATATGTTTAGAATGAACCAGAGAGGGTCTAAATTTGAAAAATTTGCATTCCCCGATACCCTTAGATTGCGCTTCGCGCTTCACGAATGACCCATCCATACCCAAAAGTCGCCCCTCCCTTGGCAAATCCTTCTGACGCCCCTGCGATTCTACCGAGCGGATGTGTTCAGTGGGGGTGTATTTTGTCCAGTTTTGTCGAAAAGATTGGATTAAGTGATGAAAAATAAAAAATATTTTGTATAAAAGTGTAAGTCGTTAATTTTCCGAGACATTTAATTTCCCGATTTATGACCTTGATATTTAAACGTTTTTCATGTCAATTAAAATTCTTTAATCTTTAAACTGACAGTAATCGGTTTTTATTGAGAGAAAATGGCCACTTTAGTTTTCAAAGGCGATAGGGTAAAATACCTGATTGCGGTCTTGAATAATCCAAAACTAGTCGTAGGTCTCGTGTTAAAGGTATGAGTCTTTGATCCAAACTGTTTCTCAAACAATATAATCGTTTATTTGTTAAACAGAGATTATTTTACTCCTGATTCAAATTGAGTCAAGTATAGTAATTAAATCAATGTAAATATCCACCAATATACTACCCGGACTACTTTCACATCCATGTAGTAGTTAATAAAACACTTAACAGAAAGTAATTGAATTATTCAGAGTCAATTATTCCCAATTATTTGATTTCGTTGAAGAAGTAGTTGTTTCTATGGTAATCTACAGCGGCCACTTGAAAGTTAACAGACTGGCTATAATTATATTCGATTAAGATCATATGCGCTGGATTATGTTCATCTATCCTGCAGATAACATCAAGACTTTGAAATTGGATTTACAATGATAAAAGTGGGAAACTTATCCGAAAACTTTCACTCGAAATGATATTTCACAACTTTTTCTGGACGTATAAAGGCAAAAAGTATTCTGAATGCATTTGTGTATATTTTAAAATGTTGGTAAGTTGTCTGTATGCGAGAATCTATCTTGTTTTAATTCTTCCTGGTGTATTCCACGTTTAAAAACCTATTCTTGTGATTACAAGAACGATATAAGAATGATCAGGGCGCACTATCTTAGTGGCATTCACACGTGGTTGAACAGATAGTCAAGCTTCTGTTAACTCTGACTTTGGAGCTAACAGCTACATGAACATCTCCAATTTTACAGATTCATGTAGTCATTGCCTTATCGTAATGTCATTCCCCCCTCTCCACCCCAATCTTCTTAAGAGGAACATTTACTGAACGCTCCGCTTCGCTCTGTGACACTAGCTTGGAATGTCAAATGATGGAATAAACGATGACTTTTGACTATTGGCTGTACTAACGTCACCATTATGACTTTTTACAAGTCCCGGGAATTTACCCTCTTCTGCGCTCCTCCCAAAATGCCCCGGGAACCAAGTTTTCTGAACTAGTCAAATTAAAAAGTCCAAATCGAGATCTTCCCTCGGATATCATTAGTTGATCTCAATCCTTGTAAATTATGCTCAAGTTTCGGCCACGAGTTAGGTCCGTCATTCCGCCGTAACAATCAATTTCTTTCATTAGAGCACTAACTTGATTAGGGTACAGTTTCAACCTCTCTGCTATGATTTTAACGAGTGATAACAAGGCAGAATAATTTGTGATCCCAAACATTCTCATTTTCTTTTCCAGGTATAAAGTTACTATAAAGTAGAAAATTCGATTTAAACAGTGTTCATTTTTGTTAACAGACATTGACTTAAATTTTATACCGCGTGATTGATATGTCACCAAATGGGAACAGTTTGTTAAAAAAAAATTGGTAGAACAGGCTGTGAAAATAGAATGTGGTTTGAATGTTTTAAAAATAATTCAAATTACGAGATATTTAGGCCTAATCCCTCATAAAGTCACGAAGAAAGTAAAAACCAAACTTCCCGTGCTTTCCAAATTCACTGAGACTGCGGTATAGGTTTCTGATAGCAAATTAAAACAAACAAAACGGGTGACACTTTAAATTAAATCTTTATGTTATTGAAATGGATCGCTTTCCCCAGGCCTATTGTTTTGAAAAGGAGTATTCAGATAACAAGACTTGACTTCAACAAACTGAAAGCAACAACTGGTATTATTGAAGGAATGCGCAGACCTTTAGTATCATTTTCAGCAAAACAATCATCAATTTATGTTAGATGGTAGTAGAACAGTTTTCTTTTTAGGTCAATGAAACTTTAAAATTGTACATGTGATGGTTAATAAGTTGAGTTAAAAATTTTCGGCATACACTTTCAAGACAGTTTAAAATTTAAGAATTTTTCCGATTCAAAAATACATTAAAATATGACAAATTTCCCCATTGTTCCTCGTGTTTTCTCGCTCCTAAATCCATTTTAGTCAATTATATTGTTTTCCGTGTGTATGGTTGGATTTGTGTTTTCCTTATATTTAACCTACCTGTTGCATTCATTGTGTTCTTGCGTGGTAGTACGGTCTTTCCTAAGATCTCGTCTATGGAGTGCGTGTTGGCTTTATTAGTGGCGTCGACGGATGCGCGTCTTTGTGCACGGGCAGCGTCTAAGACCGTTCTCAGTTGGGTAGTTAAATCGGCTTGAGGCACCACGGAGGTACTATTGTGGCTCTGTTCTCTATTTTCTCTATTCTTAGCCGGTGTGTTGGTATTACTGAATGTAACAGGGAATTTATCATAACAGTTCGAGCTCTGTATCTTCCTACCGATGAAATCTGGCCCCGATGACATGACTTCTTATCGCAACCGACTTATTCCTCAAAGTCCTGGGATGTTTGCAAGGATGCAAGCGCTGATAAGGGGCTATCTGGACTCTATTGCAGAGGGATCTGGTTACACATCGCCTGCCAAAATTTCTGGCAACAGCCAATTGCAGAGTCCAATCCGGCACTAGGAGGAATTCCAGTATTCAACTTCCAGTTTTGTTTCAAACGTTCCAGAACACGATTCTTTCAAAAATTAATAATTATTACACGAGACTATGATAATTGAGAAGTCAGTTCTCTAATTTTAGTTTTGTAAATTTTTATTCTTGAGTTTGTGTTTTACAAATATTTTCCAAGCTCAAGCTACCACAATACAACATATTACCCTATCACCCTGCAGGGGCGCACTTCGAAGATTAGAAGAAAGCAATTACAAAATTCTGTTTTTATAGATTTTTTCTGTAAAAAAATAAAACAAACACCGTCAGACCTTTCGAAAATTGGTTTTAAAATTCAAATGGATAAAACCAAGACGTCATAGTTTCTAGATGAAACAAACATTTGAAATAAGCAATGGTAAAATACAAAGTTCATTCCGACATTACGGTTTCCACTTGTAGTTGTTGGTGATACAGTTCACCAATCAGGCATGGTAATTCAATTTCGTCTAAGGACCTGATCGGGTCAAATTAGACCAAAAACTTTTATAAATTGAATTAAAGCAATCTATTAAGCGTGATTAGTGAAAACCACACCCCTTTATCTACTATCTTTCCGCTTGTAATGCTACCTTAATCAGGCTCCCCCAACTGGACAAAATCAAGATCCAATCCCCTTCAAAATACACATGGACCAGTGAGGGGGACTTATCTCACATTGATTGACAGGTTCGCTCCATCTGTAGTTGGTTAAAGCTATGCTAGTCTTGGAAAATAAATACCTCACATCTTCTGTTAATCTGACTCAATAAAGCTTTACATTCGAAGTAATAGTTTCAATTTTCTTCTCCATCATTCCCCGTGTACACTACTTAGGCCAATCTTAATGCTAATAAAACTAATGTTGGGATTAGGGGTGGCAATTTTATATTATGATATGACAGATATAACGATCATCGTGTTAATTAAAGTCTATCATACTTTATTAGAGTTGGAAAGGCTACCTCAATATTAAATGTATCGCCACTAGCACTGACTGGTTGAATGGGATATTTCGTATTCTTAATCCCAATAGAATTTATGTTTTGATTACAACACTGATTAAACTAATGATATGACAGATATGATGACCATCACTCAGATTCCGAATTACACTCTTTTTTCTTTTTTAATTAATTTATTAACTTAATTGAAACATTTATACAATTTTTACATACTATACAATGGTTATAATGGTACATGTACTTACAGGTATACAGAACTTATTGGTTATAGATTTTACTATTTCTTAGTTTCCAAATTTCAAACTTGTGTTTTAAACACTAGCTGGTTTCTATGGCATTTGTTCTCAAAATCTCCTTAATCGTTATAAAATATATATTCTCTATAGCCGGGCTTTATAACGATTTGGACAGAAATTTTGCAACATTATCAATAACGTTTTTGTTTCGCAAACATGGGCTAATGAATATATTTCAGTCTTCCTAAGGCTTCATCATTCACGTGATGCTTATGTTCGATAGTGAGCTGGAGTTCTATACTTCCGAACTACTCACTCTTAAATTTACGCTGTAGACCAGTGATGTAGAACAGATTTATCTTCCGCCAGGTTGATCTTCAATAGATGATGTAACATTACATTAGCAGTCGTGCATTCAAAGTTTATTTAAACATTGAATTATCCGCTCCATAGCCCTATAGCCTTTAATTAAGATACGAGGGTTAATTAATTTAGTCAGGTTTCTGTCTCGGAGTTTGTTTAGAATCCAAACAAACTCATCCCGAAGTCATTCTGCGGTTTACCCACAGAGCAGTCAAACGCACATCTCCAGAACATGCTCTCGTTCAAGGCGACCTTCCATTTATTTACAATGAGCAATTCTGTTATTAGACGCTTTTTCTTGGTGATGGGCTTGAGACTGATAGACATTGACTGTGGCGTTGATAAGGGTATTGTTCAGTAAGAGGACGTGACGCAATATTACAACTGACATTCGGATGACAATAACATGATAACCAGCCAGACCCATCATGCCATTGTCCGTTTTCGCTTATGGTACATGTAGGGAATAATCATATTCCTATCAGATTTTTTCCGTTGCAACCACTACATAAATTGTCTCGCCTGATCTGTTCAAACGTGGGAAACAATTTTATAGATTATCTCGATTCGAATTTAATAAAATATCTACTGCCATTTTAATTTTACATGGAAACGAAATTTATTCGGAAATTTTCCAGCTCGAACATGCACTGATTAGAATCCTGATTCTGGTTTTATGTATTTTTAAACTGCTGCCCATCTGTCAATGAATAAATGGGAAGGCGGTATGGTGCCATGTCTGTTTTTACAAGAGCTACTTTATAAACACTCTTACAAGCCCTATCAGTCTTCTTCAAAACACTTGTTCGTTGCAACCTTCCACTCTCGAGCAGATGCATTGTTTTGTTTAACAATATAACCGATGTCTTGCTTGTTATATACGTGGATCATATTTAACTTTAAGAACAGCATTATTTTCATTTTTGTATGTAGCTTCTGGTGTTAGGACATGGCGAGACTTGCTAGTTCGTATTTGTTTGAATTAAGTTGGAATTAAAATATCCAACGATTTCAAGACTTTTTCTGAGGGTTGTTTTGTTTCATAATAATAATGTTTGTTTGGAGTTTTCGTCAAATTCGCACATCGGGACAGGGGTAAGCTGAGCCTGCCTGGTAGGAGAAAATTGTCTAAAAGTTTCATCTTTTGGTCTGTACCGGGTGTGTGTTTCAGCTCTCACGCATATTTTACACATTTTTGCGCATATTTTCACACGTTGCAACAACATGTGAGGCAATCTGGACTCCGGTGTTTGGATACCCCTTACACTGGGATCGATCCCCCTTCTAAATCATAACAACAAAATACTACTCCCGAAAAGTTTAATTCAATATGTATCAGAGAAATCCCAAAAAGGTGTGAATTTAATTCAAAATGTCTTAATTTTAGGATTTTTCTGGAAAATGTTTTTCTAATCATTATGTGGAATATAGTGAAATATTTTATAAGCCCACCTATGTTACAGCAAAAATAACACTCTATCAACACATTTTACAAACATTAATTTGTAATTGTTTTGAATTTTTGGCACCTGGTGGAAGCCTGGTGGATGTTTTAAAGAAACATTGGTTGTTTTTTCTTATGTCCATCATTATGGATACATTGAATTGAGAGAATGCAGTCTGTATAACGAGACTTAAAAGTACACTTCTTGTCCACGCCACGTTCGGATAACGAATGCTGGATCGTGAGACAAATATAAGAAGTTTTTTAATATGGCACACACGTCATTATAAAACCTTATATATTAATGATGAATTAAGAAAATTGTCACAATGTCAAGTATACGTATAGTCTCTTTGAGTTCTTTTCGATTTGGGTAAAATACGATAATCGATACACCCCATAATAATCATGACATCTCATTTCTTCTCAGCTTTGAATTGGTGAAGCAGATGAGTATCAGAATGGATAAACCCTATCAAATCCGTGACTAGAGTAGGAGTCATTTTTTGCACGAGGAAACACATTTAATCCATTAAAGATGAAAAGCAAAAACACCCTGGAGAAGCACACCAATTCTGAGACTGCATAGTAACCGTTCTATAATTGCAAAGTTTGGTAGGTAAAATCGAGTCAGGATGCAAGTTAATTCGAAACGTTTCTTCCAGATATCAGATGACATTAATTTAGATTAATTGGATGGTGCTATGAGGATTCTGTGTTAAACTTGTTAAAACAATACTGATATTCGATCTTTTACTGCAGTTAGAAATGATGTCGATTGGTCCATCACCAAAACATTTGATTGCAAAACTACTTGAAATATTATTGAAATTAAACATAGTACAGTATTTCAATCAAGTTTGCTTGTCTGTTTGTTTGTTTGTTTGTTTGATTGTTTTATTTTTTATCCATTTGCTAATTGATTTAAAGTTTCCTTCTTATAAATGGAAACAATGACATATCATTCATCTTTCTATACCCGTTTTATTCTATACAAACAAACAAACAAACACATATTCTTAGAGTAAAAAGACATTTTGATTTATTTATTACAATTTGTATCCAGGTTCTATACATATGTATAAAGCATATATGTTAGCTTTTTTTATCATGTATTACTTGACTCTAAGAGTGATGTCTGGTAGCGCCATCTAACTTCCATGCAGAACACGATAAATAGATTTGAGATGGTTTACTTAAAATGAAACTTGAGATTATGTTCTTGTTTCTAGAGTTCTATAAATTATATGGATAAAGGAAATCTTACAATTCAGAACAAGTAAAACGCCATAGATTGCTCACTTTAAAAGTCCCAAGGGTTCACTGGAAGAATAGCATAAATAATACATTCGTCACTTTCTTTCGGAAGATCAAGGCCGGTTGAATAGGAGATGATTTTCAAAACTATAGAACTGTGCATTTGCTGAAACTCTTTATTATAAGAAACACAGAGGAATGTGTTCTTTTTCAAATTATGCAACTTGATTTCAGGTATTTTATTGACAAAATAGCGCACTCGCTCGGAATTTTTGTTTTTCTTGAAAATTAGGATCAGATCAACCCTTTGAAATAAATTAGCTTGAGGTGGCATTAAGGTAGACTAAACGATTTCATTCAACCTCGACAAAATATTTGAAGCATCGTCAGTATTTTTGCATAGAACAATGTGTTTGTTTTATGATATTTGAACAGATAGCCTTAGTAATCTTGATAAAATAGTAATACATATGTTAATTTTGATACACGGGCGATTTTATTTGTTTAGGGAATTTTTCAGAAGTTGAGTCACAGTAAAAGCTTTTTGAGAGTTCAGAAAAACATTTAAAGTAAGAGTCGTACCAATAGTCAACATCCATTTTGATTGAGACGATGTACATGTAACCATTCCTCATGAAAGAACTACTTTTTAAAGGTATTTCAAAATTTGTAATTTTTGCTCTCTTTAAAAAGATGGCAATTAAAACGTATGAAATAATGTATTTACTTATGATTTCATGATTTACGACCTTTAAATACAACCTCAGGCTATTCGCTTGTTTTTAACACAACATACTGTAGAACATAAACACGCAGGTAGGATATCTTTTTTACGACTTTAACCTTTCGTGTAATTTGACATCTGTTTTATGACGTTTTTGGGTAATAGTTTTGCATATCAATGATTTATAACTATTAGGTGGGACTTTGGAAGCCATTTTATTAAACTTTATAAAAGCACCATGAAAAATTTGGATTTATCGTTTTCAGATTTGGAAATGTCAGGAGGTGGGGAGTGTGTTTTGGTGACAGGGGGGACTGGGTATATAGGTAGTCACACCGTGGTGGAGTTATTGGACGCTGGTTACAAACCAGTGGTTTTAGACAGCCTCGTCAACTCAAGTGAAAGTATGTACAACTTTGTTCATTAATTAATAATGTGGCAGACCTGGGTTATGTTAACCTATGTCTTATGTTTTATTTACTTTAATGACACACAGAAATATTTTACATGAATGGGGACACTTTAAGCAAGTGCATATTCATGCCCAATATAATGTTTACAACAAATGTTTTACTTTGTTCTCACACAGCGTAGAAGAATGGCTATGAATGCTAATTTAAAAAAATAAGTTTGTCAAATATTAATTTAAGCAGTAAATAAGGAAGTTTTGCTACACTTTTTTAAGACATATACGTGGATGTGTAATCTGATCACCCCCGGGGATAACTATCCAAGGGGGACTTTTCCAGGGATCAAATCACAACTAAACTGAATTTCCTTGGAAGTTTTACTTGATCCTGCAAGTGAATATACGAAGGGGAGAAATTCCTAGAGACCATATTTCCACATGTACATACATGTACACTCTCTTAAAAACGTGAAGCTAACTTCCCCAAGCTAATAGGTTACATAAATCACACAAATGTAATAAATAACCACCACTGAAGTTACAATTATTTTGAACAACTTGAAAATAACACATTTAAAGAAGAAATCTGAGATTTCAAACAATTGTATAATTCAATTCAATGGGATTGGCTTTCAACTGAGTCGGAATCATTCAAAACAAATCCCAAGTCCTCTCTGTCTTATAAAACATAAAGACATGTCATCATCTTCCAGCATGTATAGACAGAATTGAAGATATTACGGGTCACAAAGTCCCATTCCACCACGTAGATCTGTTGAACCAGGAAGACGTCGATAAAGTCTTCGACAAGGTATGTTTGATGGCCTCAATTGCTCAATTGCCCTTTACGCATTCCATCTACAGTGGGACAACTTTTGGAACCTCTTCTTGTAATAATATTATGTATAATGTATGTAGTCTATTCGTAAGTTAATCATCCATGTGGAGGTACGTTAGAGTCACTTAATGTTACTGAGTTTATCAGTGACAGTTACACCTTTGAGGCAGCTGTGACAGAAATGATGCCCCCCCCCCCTTGTGTTCACCCCCCCCCCCCCAGATATGGCTATGATTGCATAGGGAAATCTAGGTCACTGTATAAGCCAAAATGAAAGCGGAGTATATGTACCTTTTAATTTTACAGTTGTGAGTAGTCACAGTTTTTGGATAGGGTCATTGAGTTGCCATAATGGGTTACTATCTTAAAGGAGTTTTGTAGTATCAGTAATATCAAATAAAAGAGGACAAGCCAGTCTTAATGAATACTATGACAGTGGCTTTAATACAACTATATCCATACTAATTGAATGCCAGCTTGGGTAATATTTCCAGAGCTTCGTGACATGCCCAGGTTTACTTTTAACCCATCTCTGCTCTCAGGTTACAGTTTGGGGTATATAGAGCTAGGAAACCTATCACTGAGGACAGTTATCACTTCTGTAACACGGTTCCAAATGGTGTCCACAACGGACAGGTTTGAGAGTGCCGATGCAGTTTAAAGTGCATTTATCACAGTGGACTGATTAAAGTTATTTACATTTTGTAGTTCAAATTTGTAAAACATGCAAAAATGTCACTGGAGAACGGACTCATTAATACGTTTTAGGCTAGCCATACGTACTACATTTGTAGGTTAAATTTTGATGTCTCTAAACGCTTTATTTGGTACTTCAATTTTCTCAAATCTATTTTTTATTCTAAAATTACTACATAAAGGTGTGATTCAAGCATAATCGACCTTTGACAAGATACACCACTTCAATTCAAGTGTACTCTTCGAGTAGTTAAAGTGGCATTTGATGTTTTTAACTTTCTACAAATTAAATTCTATTTCTAATTCAAGGTTGGCCCATAAGGATGGCCGAGGAATTAGTTCGTTAATATTGAATTGAACCCTTTGCCTTTAACCTCATATGCTACACATTTAAAGCTTATCCAATAATACCATTTTTAGTGATCACGAAATATTTAAGTGAAAAAGTGTCAACGAGTTGATCCTTATCCATGTTTACTGGAGTGCCTGATTGCTAATCTCATTAACCATTAACATGGGGACTTTACATTGAGAAAGACGTATTGTTTTAATAAAAAATACTCATAGTTGATATATATATATCACTTCTGTAACATATGAATGAACTGTCATCATTTGCCATTCATAGCATTTTGAACCGTTGTATGAGTAGCATCGATGTTAGTGAAAATACATTTTACCTCATCAGTGAAAGGTGTTCTTACAAAAGTAAAATGTCCAATTCATCTGTTGAAAGCCCATGTTCTAAACTACATTGAAGAGTTTTTTTCAATATAGAGCTCTCTAAGGAACCTTTTTTATTATTTCAGTACACATTTTCTTGCGTGATACATTTTGCTGGGCTTAAGGCGGTTGGAGAATCAACAAAGAAACCTTTGAAATACTACAGAAATAATGTTAATGGTACACTCAACCTTCTTGAGGTAAATAGCCTTAAATCATTATTAAAGGTAAATTATCATGTATTTATTTGTGTAAATGTATTAGGGAGCACATTCTGATACTCATAGCATCTCTCTCTGTTGCATCGCAGATCTCTCCAGAAGGATAAAGATGGAGAGGGCGTGGCTTACCAAAATGTAGGGAACACTTCAAACATCAATGTATTTTACGTAGTAGAAATAACTACATGTATATTAATCAATACTAATATATTGAAACTGATTATAGTATTAAGCGACTTTTCAAAAATAAACAATCTTGATTTAAAAAAATAAAAATAAACAAATGGATAATGATGATAGATATAATTTCTTGTTATGCCTATTCCCTAATTCCATGAAAAGGATTTTGAAATGAATAAACGTATTCATTTTACTCCAAAAGGTGTACTATTCGAGAATAGAGAGACTATTCTACACAAGAATATTACATATAAAAATATATAAAAGATAACACAACATTAATGTGAGTAGGCAAGACAAGCATCACTAAACACTTTCGTTTTCCATGTACAATACTATCAGAATATATTGTATTCGATACACTCTTTAATTATATGTATACATAATAAATTACCGGACATCGATGTTTTCGAAGTACTATCTTACTGTTGGCTACAGATAATATCAAAGCCATGTTTGGGCATGCTTACCAGTAGACAGTAGACATTTTTCTTAAATACGAAAAACAAGGAGCATTGTCTCCCAGAGTGCAACATCGATATTCTGTCCCATACATGGGCATGTCGTGATACAAAATTCGAATTCGAACAGCTGGCCATTTTGTTCACTTCAACATTAGAATCGGGAATTTTGGTCTTATTTCCTAACGAAAAATTCCAAAACTCACAAGAAATGATCGAGATATTAGTGCGGATCTTTTGAACTGTTTATTTTGAATTCATAGTAGTCGGTTATAATTTCAGAAAATAACGACATTTCGACATTTTCATTCAGTTGGAAAATATCGAGTTTCGATCCTGGGAGCCAATCTTCCTTGACGAAATCATCTGATTGTGTGCTGGATTTAACGTGCACCAATCAGATAATTTTTTGAGGTTATACTCGTATCTATGAAAACTTCATATCTTGGAAATCCAAGATGATATATATGGATCGAGACATGACTTCGTTTAAATCTCAAACTTTGTTTTCTCCTTGTGTTTTTATCTAGCTAAACTATAATTTTCAGTTCTGAAGTCATTTATTCCTATTCACTGGGTCTCAACGCTCCTAAGAGGTTTGACTCTTTTACAAAAGTGAGAAACTATAATTTATCTAGATCTCTTCGTGATGATGCTAGGTGAATACAAATAACATTTTCTAATCTAGAGATTATGCGCTAACGATTATGGAGAAAATAGTCCAAAAATGGTTTCAAATGGAGAAAACAAAATATCTTTCGAAAATCTGCTACCGGAAGGCAGACCATCTTGTTACACAGACCCAGTAGCTGTGTAATACGTCGAGACCCTGTGATATTAGGGAGTTTAAGCTTGCAATGTTTTGCACAACCTCAACGTGAACGGAAAATATTTAAGCGATGCATTTGTATGGGCGATTGGTCATACGTATAGGTTGGTGTTTCGATTTTATATGCAAGCTTAAACTCCCTATTAAACCAAATTTCCTATTCCAATCGTACACTGCTTACACCGTTACTGTTTCAGTCGATGCAAGCCCATCAGGTGCACAATATCATATTCTCGGGATCGTGCACGGTCTACGGTGAGCCACAATATGTGCCGCTAGACGAGAAACACCCCGTTGGAGGAATCACGAGTCCTTACGGAAAAACAAAAAGTATTATAGAAGATATTCTCTGTGAACTCTGTAACAAGGATCAGGTAAGTGGCGACATCTATCAAACGACTCGTATATAATAGTATTTTGTTCCACGTCTGACACCATTGTCATGCAGAGAGAAGTCGAAAAGTAGATCTAACGATTGGCCATGACGTCATTCATTTACACATTTTTGCAGTCATGTTAATGCAGATTATTTACAGTAATGAACAAAAGAACCAACATTTCAGAATGGTGTATCTTTTTGAGCAACATTTTAGGAGTAGTAATTTTTCTGCAATATTTTAAGTTTTTGCAATTTTTGTGTAACACTTTAAGAAGTACATTGCATCAATAAAGGACCGGAGTATTTTCGTAATTGTCATATTTGAGTTCACACTTTGTCGCCTTTGTAATAGACATAATAGATACTTCACAGAAGGATTCCTTCATGTTTGTATTCATACTACATCCAGCAACATGAACTCTTTTCTTTCAAGAGATGGAATGCAGTTTCTCTAAGGTACTTCAATCCAGTTGGGGCCCACAAATCTGGTATGATTGGAGAGGATCCATTGGGGATTCCAAACAACATTATGCCATTTATCGCCCAAGTTGCAGTGGGCAAACAACCGGAGTTGAAGGTATTCGGACAGGATTATCCAACTCCGGATGGAACATGTGAGTAGGTCAATATATTCCGCGTAACACTCAGTCTATCATTTCATTTTTTCAATATCTATTGTTTTAGCCTTGACTACACCCCCCCCCCTCCGATTTACCCGCTCTATCACCACGTCGTTTTAATAACAATGACCTAGATATATGTGCAAGGGATATTTGTCGCTATTTGGGTGATTAACTCTGTATTCGCGAATGCAACTAACGCCTATCGGCTACCGGATTAACATATTGACCAACTCATTTAAATATGAATGGAATAGTGGCAGGTTCTATTCATATTTAAATTAGTTTCCAATAAAATAGTAGATTAATCCGGTAGCCGGAAGCTTGTATTCGCATATGCAACTTTCGGCTGTCGGCTACCGGATTGACATATTATCTATCACCAACTCATTTAAATATGAAACGTACCTGCCACTATTCCATTCATATTTAGATCAGTTGGTCATAAAATAGTAAGTTAATCCGGTAGTCGACAACCGAAGGTTGCATTTGCGAATACAAGTTCACTCTATCACCCTATGCAGACAGAGCCTGTGGGAAATATTGGGTGCGGAGCAAATGAGCGGAGGGTGCGGAGCTAACGGTTATTTTTGAATTTAAATTTGGGATATTTCTGAAACTAAGCCGTTTTGGGACTTCAAATATACCAAGATATGTGTATTTGACACCAAATATCAATACAATTGGGAAAATAGTAGCGCAATTCATTCTATAGCGACGCAGTGTGCCTTAAACCTTTCCCAGACCTATATATTTTGAAATTATCCTTTTAATACTGAGTCCCCAGCATTCATAAAAAATGGTGTTCAAGGTGCACTATCTATTCAAATTATTTTTGCATCTTGGAAGCCAGGCAGTATCTGTGTGATTTTATAAAAATTCGGAAATTTTTTCAGATATGAGCCCCCTCTAAATATTGGGTGCGGAGCAGCTCCATAAACGTAGCTCCGCACCCAATATTTAGAGGGGGCTCATATCTGAAGAACATTTCCGAATTTTTATAAAATCACACAGATACTGCCTGGCTTCCAAGATGCAAAAATAATTTGCATGGGTAGTGTATCTTGAACACCATTTTTTATGAATGCTGGGGACGCAGTATTAAAAGGATAGTCTCAAAATATATAGGTCTGGGAAATGTTTAAGGCATAGTGCGTCGCTATAAAATGAATGGCACTACTATTTTCACAATTTTATTGATATTTGATGTCAAATACACATATCTTGGTATATTTGAAGTCCCAAAACGGCTTAGTTTCAGAAATATCCCAATTTTAAATTCAAAAATGACCGTTAGCTCCGCACCCTCCGCTCATTTGCGCCGCACCCAATATTTCCCACAGGCTCTGTCTGCATAGGGTGTCTATGCTTGATTTTTTTACTTGTGAATATAGCATTTCGCCAAACACTCTTCAACATTTTGTCTATTATTTTAGTATTTTGATTGTTTTCAGGCATTCGAGATTACGTTCATGTTGTTGAGCTATCAAAGGGTCACGTTGCAGCAATAAACAAACTCAGAGAAAGATGTTCGTGGAAGGTCAGCCATTATAATTTCAAACTTTAATTATGTAACTACCTGATGAGTACTCTTTACCTTTAATAAACAGTTTCTCTTCTATTACAACCTTTAACATTCTAAATACGTTTCAAAACCATTTGGCTCCCTTTCAGATACTAATGTATGAACTTCTTGTCTTGACTATGAGAGAGCAGAAAATAAACTGTATTTACTATAAACTTTTCCTGATATAAAAAAAGAAATAGGTCCTTTTCATGAAATTTTTGAAGTATTAATCTATTAAATTTCAGACTTATAATCTAGGAACCGGGAAAGGCTATTCTGTATTAGAACTAGTAAAGGCATTCGAGAAGGCATCAGGGTTAGTTATTCCATACTCTATTGTTGGAAGAAGGGAAGGCGATGTACCACAGTCGTATGCAAACAGCTCTTTGGCGAGAGAGGAACTCACATGGCAGGCAGTAGCGCATATTGATGAGATGTGTAAGACTAACTTATACTCACTTTTCAATGGTACAAACGGTCTAGAAGCTCAAGTACAGGACTGTCCCGTGTATTTGCCATTATATACTTCGTTCTTTAATTTTTTGAATACAAACATGAAGGTATTTGGGTAGGAAAGGTCTGGTCACAATTTGTCAAATATGAGTGGGAAATTACGTGGTCAATATGTAACTCTGCATCCTATAAACCATCCCAGTGTGAAATTGTGTACCGTGATATTCCAACCAACTTAGAATAAAGCCAATTGATATCATCACTTCCAAATGATCAAGAAATACATAACGGAATTGATTCATTATACATTTGCAGGTGAGGACGTATGGAGATGGCAGTCTAGAAATCCACATGGCTACCATTCACCACCCGCAATGACAAATGGTTTGGACAAATAACAACCATCTCTAGATGACATAACAAAACACAACCTTGCAATATGTAACAGTTTAACCAAACTGCAGCACAGACTTTGTGCTATTAATGTGTATCGTTTGTGGTGCCCACATTGGAAACATAGTTTCATTATACAAATGGGTTAAACGAAGGACCAAGTGTTCATATTTATTTAATGAAAATTCTCCGTCTTCACCAATATGATCTGCTGTGTTGAAACTGTTAATAAATTAGTATGACTTGTTGTTCAATTGTAATAACAACATTCCAGGTGTGAAGTTTTAGAATAAAAACAATATAAAAACTGTCAAAACTGAGTTTTAATTCAATTACTAAAGACAAGGACTCAACAACCCACACTTTATATATAGAAATGTAATTAAAATGGATTTATTCTAACAGTATATAATATTACAGTAAATATTTTACAGAAAATGTGTAGACTATATATAAATGTATATTTATATGTAGAACAGAAATAGGCAATGTTGCTCTTTCTTATTTATAAATAATAGATTATGTGTGTATCATCTAATGCTCACAACTTTTTAAATATTAGTTAATACTAGATGTTTACAAATATATTTATTTTCTAAAACCATTGTTTAAAATCATCAAAAACTGATTTTCGATCAAATGCTGAAAATGGAATTACAATTCCTCCCGGTTATAAGTAAGGTATAAATACCTGGCTGCTTAAAATTGTTGGTATGTAATCACCAAGAATTCTTTTTATTTTGATCAAACGAGTATTTTGAAGCCAAGAATACTGAAAATCGCAAAATAACAAATACTAAAATATTGAAGTCACGTGACCAATACCAGAGATCATGGATACTAGTATTCTATGGCGCTGCACATGATTTTCTGAGCAAGTGGGTATACAACAAATGATAGATGAACACACAAATTAATATTTGGACACTAGCAATTTTGATATAGGAATGTCGACAAAGCGATGCATATGCCTTTGGATATCTATATTTTGGAAAATACAATCACATGGCTGTATACGGTTTGCGGAAGTGATTATGTCTACATGGATTTCCACATCAAGACACGTTTGTAGAAGTTGCAGTGGCTTTACCAGTCTTTTACTGTTTATACGTAATAAAATCGTTCATGCTCTCACTGTAACATTTTTGTATGGACATTTCATCGTTAAACCATTTCCTGTATTGACCCTCTGCTTGCAACACAAGCATCTTATAGCCATCGATGTATTGGAACTTGTCTCTTGGGGGATTTCCATAACTGCAATCCATCCATGTAGAACCTTCTTTGAATGCATTTACGGGGGGTTTAACTGTGCCAGGAAGGGCATTGATGATCATTGTGTCTGAGGATTCGGCAAAAGCGTGGTCACCCTCTAGTGCTTCTAAGGTTAAAACACCCACACCATTAAAAGAGGAAACCAGTTGCTCGGCAGATTTCACGTTTCTAGCACACACTGTAAAAGAAATGGCAGCCTGATTGCAAGCATATGCAGCCGCCCTTGCAGTTCCCCCGCTCCCTAGAATAACCACAGATTGCGGACTGACTTCCCTTAAGATCTTGTATATCGCCTCCCAATCTGTGTTACAACCTCGTAGTTCCTCTCCATGCCAATAGATGGTGTTAATGGCACCTATATCTACAGCACATTGGTCAACTGCATCGACCCAAGACATTGCTTCAAGTTTATATGGAATCGTCACACTTGCACCACCGAAATCACCATCTTTGAGCTTGTCAATAATGGTGGGCTTCGGATCATAGCAAATGTTGTAAATTGCATCGATGTGGCCGTGTTCAAAAGCTGTGTTATGCAACCAAGGAGAGGGTGAATTCACGACAGATTTATCTCCAAATAAATAGAATTTTTTACGCCTTGAAGTACCGTCTAGAGTGCTTCTAATTGCCTTGATCTCTCGAATGCTCAGTTGACCTTTATCTGTTAATGTCAAAGATGGATCACACACGGGTGTTAGGCACTTGTTCACAACTCTAGAGAATCGGCTTGATATGTCTCCCCCTTTAGTGATAACGATCCATGGGATACGAGTTTCATTTTGAAGTTGGTTCAGTGTGTCAGCTGCATCAGCATCCTCGTTGCCAGGTAAAACTATTTTTGCAACATCAGGTTTGTGTCGAGCCAATCCTTGACAAACCACGGCACGAATACCGTCACAAGTGATTGCATGATAACTGCCGATAACTCTAGCGTGACGTCGATCAACTTTGAATGTCCATGATAACTCTATATCAATCCACTCAACCCCAAGTCGCAGTCCTAGGTTGATATACTCCCTAGGATCACCAATAAAAGCACCACCTTCGCTAACACTCCTGAATGTTAGGAGTATGGGTTTATTAGTCAGATCTTGCAGACCCGTGATTGCGCTCTCGAGGGTGGATTCATCAAGAGGTTCCAATAGATCAGCTCTTAGTTCAACTAAATCAGCGTCAATTGCGGCGCGGCTCATTGCCAGCGGTTGTATTGATATATCAACAGGGTCAAAACAAAGCATGAAAGATTCCGTCGGAACGCTTCTCGGTTGTAAAATATTATCCAGCCAATGTCGTAATGCTGACGGTGATACATTTTCGGATGTTTCTCTTGAATGATATACATATGTTGCACAGTCATCGTACAATGATTTCCTATATTCCCATACATCTGAGAGGCTTTGTTTGTAAGGCAAGGTCACGTCTGCCAAGTCAGCCTCGATTTTCGACAAAGGACGCTTCAAATGGATCACATACTTTTTAGCCTTCAAAATGGCCCTGCTCTTAGGATGTTCAACTACACCACCACCCGTAGCAATTATTTCATATGTTCCCATGGCAATGACATCTTTAAGACACTCATATTCTTGTTCATGGAAACTCGAGAAACCATGAATCTGAATCCATTCACCAGGAGTGATGTTCTTTTGCGTAGTAAAGTATTCGTCCATATCGATAAACTGTTTTCCCGTGTTTGCTGAAATAAACCGTCCATTTGTGGTTTTTCCTGAGCATTTCATACCAATGAGTATTACAGGTTGGTAACCTTGGTAGATCTTAACAGTGTCGAATGATGAGGATTTCGTCCCATTGTTGTTATCCACTTGTGTGTCTGGGGTACCATTTAAAAGTATTTCTTTGACAGGTGTAAGTTGCCTTTGAGTAGCGACCTTTATAATATCATCTTTATTCACTTGGATGATCACTGGCTTTTGAACTCCTTTAATCGTGGCAAGTTTTCCACACTTTTTGTCCCATTTCAAAGAAAACATGATGTTCTCGATTTTCAGATGGGCTGGAATGAAGACTGGGAGGCGATATCGTTCAAGTGTTCGTATAATGTCTGCTTGTAGCATACATGGTACCAATCCCTCGCCATTGGCTCCATTTAGCATGATTTCACAAGCGATACCCATGGCAACGCATTGACCATGGGGAAGACCAGATACGATTTCAATCGCATGCCCAATAGTATGGCCAAAGTTCAACACTTGTCTTGGTACTTTACCCAGACCTTGTTCTTTATTGTCACTTGTCGTAATGTCCACTTTTACTGATGATGCGTGTTTCACGACATTTGTTAGAAACTCGATATCTTTACAAGAGTTTATATCATTGTCTTTCACCATCGCCCAAAGCTGTTGGTCAGCCACCAGAGCGGTTTTGATGGCTTCTGCCATTCCGTTGCTGAGTTCAGTTTGAGGCAAGGTCATGGCGAAGGACACGTCAATAAGAGTGAGGAGAGGATGGTAGAACGCTCCAAGCAAGTTTTTGCCACAAGGGTGATCAATGCCTACTTTGCCACCAATGCTACTATCCACCATCGCCAGTAAAGTGGTTGGCACTTGAACAAATGCAATCCCTCGCATATAGGTGGCAGCAACAAAACCCACCAAATCTCCGACAACACCGCCACCTATCGCTATTAAACAACTCCCATTCCGAGGAAAGCAATGTTTCAAGAAAAAGTCCTCCATTTTTGATTTCCCTTCTCTGCATTTTGATTGTTCTCCAGGTTGAACGACAAAACTTTGTACACTTTTCCCCGACTCTTTTAGTTTGTTCTCCAAGTTGCTGAGTCTTCCTACGTAAATGGTTTGCACGTTGGCGTCGATACATAATCCTATATGGGAGAATTCCAACACATGGTCCACCAGTGTCTCCAATGCAGAAAACGTGACCGTCATGATGATATGCCTATTGCACTGCCTAACCCAGAACTACCTTAAACATAAAATTTAAACAAGTTAAATATAATTCCCCTCAATTCGTTCAAATAACAAAGTAGAAAAACAAGGTATTAATGTCTACATTGTGAGTGTTCTTGATTACTAGAATCTAAGCTGATTCAACTTTCTCATATATATATGCCATTTTAAGCTTCTTTACAAAACTGGAGTATTGACACACTAACTCCAGTGTCGCACCGAAAATTGCAATCAGTTATATTTCCGGCTGAATTTATTTTCATAAGTGTTAGTTGAGTCACAGTAATTAGACTTTGCTCTGTTCTGGAAAGTAAAACGAACTAGATGATCATGTTACCGCTTCGAACTTGCAGAAGCTACCGATGATAAAACTATGTAAAGTGGCGAAACCTATCACCAAACTGCCAAACTTTTGTCTCAAAAAGCACAGAAAGTTAATAGAGTTTCTCCTAATCTTAGAACAATGTCATGTATATGCACAGTGCTTGGGATTTATGAATATAGTTCGGAGTAGGGATACTAGCGGTTACCGGTTTTCTGTATAAAAAGCTCTTTCTCCTTTTCTGTCCCGTCGCAGCGCCATCTAGTGTTTGATAAATGAATCAAGGTTTATTCTCGATAGGGTAAGTACTAATCTATCAGGAAACATTTACAAGTTTGGTTAGAAACAGAATTTTTATAGATGGCGGAGTGATTTTTGAGACTATGTAGAGCAGAATAATTTTCTGAAACAGGTAGCTTTACGGTGGTAGCTCTCTCCAGATTCAGTTATCTCAAAAACGGTGTGGTCACCGTATGCTTATTTTGTAACGGCAAGCTAGACAAGACTCCAATGAACACTGGGCACTGTTTCGCTGAGCTAGATCTGTGCCCATGAATATATTATGAAATGAAACGTTATAATGGTCGTCAATGGGATTTTTTACTGCAATCTTGACCCTATTAGCAACAGGGTGGTGACAGTACTAGGGTGGGAAATAGCGTTATTTTTGTAAAAATTACACTTTCTTACCAATGTGTACCTTGCATCTCTAAGAAAAATCAAATTATCTGAAGAATTAGTAATTTAGATTTTCGCTGATTCGGCATTTTTCATTTTTTACCTAAAAATCACAGGTTTTGACCTTTTTTGGCCTGTATTTTGTTACAGGATAGCACAAGAGGGCTGTTAGTGCTGGTTTTAAGAGGTTGTTGACAGGCTTTTATCAAATTATTACCGAATTTAAGGATTTAGTTATTATCATAGCATGTAATACAGCTTTTTCCTTTGTGTCTGAATTTTTCTTGAAAATATATGACAAATTTGACACATTTAACCCAATAGACTGACTAAATATGGCTGAAAACAGTTACTAACATGCATGTAATTAAAACAAGAACATTGTTATGCAAAACTGATATGATAATTTAATATAGAAGCTCATTTACTGAAATTAATCACTAAATAATGGCTAATTTGGGGTAATCTCTGATCAAAAATGACTAGATTTGACCATTTTTTTGTTTCATGGTTCAGTGATTTTGGCAATAAACATTATGGAAGTGCGAATAAACGTTTTGACATGCTAAATATTGTGAATTTTTGTTAAGCCATAGCGAGTAGCAGTATTTCTATTGCAAAAATGGTCAGTTAGGTATAAAACTGCATGGCCCTAAAATAAATGACCCCGGGGTTAACAAAGCAGCTATAAAAGCTCTTCTATTGGTGCGATTGGGCTTAAATTGCACAAAAAGTCTTGAAACACTCTTATGTTTAAGAAAAACAAGATTTCTGGCACAAAATCATTCAACCGTGTCACTATACTTTCTATGGATGCTGCGATCTTGGAATTGGGCAACGATGTTGTAGAAAATCATAATATTACAGTTAAAACTACACTGAAGTAATATGCTGTGCATGTTGTTCTTACCAATTCTCGCTAATAATTTCATTTTAACAATAACAGTCAGTGCAGTGTGGACCCTCTGAAGGTGGTTTTTCAAATCTTTGCATGACCGAAAGTTTAGAAAACAACGCTTGGGTGGAATGAATAAGCCACAATGCATCATATCTTGAACTTAAATTATTTTCACACATTGTAAAATCACTAGCAGACCTTATTTCAAAGAAAAAAAATTTGCAGTTGGCGAAGCATCAATTTCAATCTGTAGAGTCAAATTGTTAGCTTGACAACCATTCAACTAATGACCTGGCTTGGGTGTGGTTAATTATATAATGCAGTGCAGTTACTGTATATGAAATACTACGGATTGGCTGGAATCGGACACACCTTGCCAAGATGCATGTATGTGTGAATTGGACCTTAGCATGAATGCAATGTTTTGAAATTGCGTTTAAAAATGATCCATGCAAGATGGGTAATACATACGTAAGGCACGACCATGTATCAATGAATTTCATTTTGGGTATCAATTCATGTAATAGATACAGTACCATGACGAGTGATTTGGATGATCGGATTCAGTCTTGCGTTGATCCGTTGTGAATCATTGGGGTCCATTTGACCTAGAGGATTTTACCCGTATACAAGTTAGGGAAAGTCATTCGGATCCCACAACGAGGGCAAGTAGGCCAGGGGGAGACGTACTGTACCATTTGACATGAAAAAGAAGTCGGTGACCTATCATTTTTATTTTTAAGAGTTTTGAAATTAATTTGAATCATTAAACATTCCAGTGTGCAAAAATTAAAATATCTTTATAATCTCTTAATCCACTACCTATTCCTTAACATGGAAAATCAATTCTTAAATGAAAACCTGAGACTTTCATATTAGTCTTAGGTAAAGACGATGTTGGTGACACCATCTTTTTTGCTTGATTATGAAGCATTTTTATGTCCGGGTTAATTTAATTTGAAAGTATATACAAATATATTTATGGTAAAGTTATTTCTAGACTGGAGTGAGCAACCACCACCTTATGACGATTTTAAAATACGCCACAGCGTCGACCTTATTGAAAAATGCAGGTCGGCATTGTCAGTCGGCATTTAAATATTACATCTGCAGTTGTCAACTATGACAGTAATTAAGTATTACATCTGCAATTCTCAAAATTAAAATACAATGAAAAAACGTACGAAAATAGAACCATTTTATGCCCTATATTTCTTTCCCTTTGTTGTTGTGACCCGAATGCAGTTTTATGACCCCTTTAGGTTATTGCATACATACAAAGGCAAACTCACTATCACAACGTCTAAAGAGAAAAAAGTATTGAAATGAATTATGCACGACTGCTTATTTTAATGGCAGGAGAAGTATATATTGCACTCGTGGGATAAATTCACTACATCTATATTGTGTATCTTGACCCAAATACAATGAACAGCTAGACAAATAAGCAGAAAAGCTAAAAGGTAGGAATATTTTGTAAAGTTGATACAATTTAAATTTATTTTAAGCGTAACATACTTACAATTTCAATGATTTGGTCAACCATTCCAGAGTTGATCTATCCTCTTATAAGTACGTCTATGATGCTGTTAAACTTTATATCATTTACCACTGATGTCCCTCACGTACTGTCACTAAATGGATTAATTAGTGAAACGATGTAATTATATAAGTAATTTGCTGGTTTGTCAGTATATGATGCTAATTGTAGCTTCCATTTGGTGATCAACTCATCGTAAGATGCTGGTTTAAAACAGTATCATGCCGTGTTAATTAGACGAGCTATACGTTTTGGTTTCTAAACAGTAAACTTAAGACAGCTTTTCTCTTTGTGGCTGTATTTATATAAACACATCCGTTGTTTAAATAGTATTAACGTGATCTTTTTAAGCTAGCTACTATGCATGTCAAAATATAAAATGATTGAAATAGAATGTATGTCCTCATTGTCCTGGTATTTAAGTTCATTCATGAGATGTCATTGTGGTGATAAAGATAAAGTTCAGACATTTCTTGCTCGACATATTCCTTTATCGCAATGTGACAACTTCAATTTTACTTTCTTATATTCACTTTCTTTTATTCATGATAACACGTTGCCTTTCACAGTGTTTATAACGTGAAACCTAAATAAAAAAATACCAGGATTGACTTCGCTTGGCAAAAACTCAGAATCTCATGTTTATAAACATGATAGTATAAATATAATTTGGAGGAGACCCAAATGTAAATATGCAACTATTAAACATAAATTCTCATTCAGGCACTATGGTACCTTATCAAATGACATACTTTGTTTTCAGGTGACTCCGTCATGGAAAACAAGGCGTATGCATCAGAGACATCTATAGATATACCAAAGATTACAAATCCAAACCCCCGCGAAGATGCCTCTCATGTTCATATCAATATTCCAGAGAAATGTCCAATAACACTTGACAAACAAAACACGCCAACTGTTACTGATAAAGAAACAACCCACACAGGGGAAACTGAAGAATCATTGTCAAAAGAAACATGTTTACAAAATGTGCTAAAAATCCAAAGGAAACTATCAGCATATTATCATCAACAAAAACATAAACTCTGGAAAATTACAAAGTTTATCCTTCTAATAGGGTGGTTTGTATATATTGCATTTGCGTTATTATACAATCCAGAGGGCGCCATTGTAGTGACAGTTATTACGGGACTTGCATCGTTAGGCATAGGATATTCATTGATGAAAGAAAATGGATTTCTAGGCAAGTTGCAAACGCATTGCTTTAAACCATGCTTCCAATGTGTAACCAAGAACTGGAGGTTTCTAAGATGGTGAGTAGCATGGATGTTATCTTGATTTAAGAAACCCCCAAAGGCATATATCGGCTAATAAACAGATACTTGACTAATAAAGGTGCATACTTTTTCATAGATATTGATCAAATAAATTGCACTTTATTCCCAGCACCTACGCAAGCGTGGTCTGAAAAAATAGAAATACTACTCTTTTGTTAAAACAAATATTGACATTATTATGATATAATATAAATTGAGACATGACATGAATCATTATGCTGTAAAATGATATGATTTGAATTTCGAATTGACTTCAACTTTAGGTTTGCATATGGGTTAGCATTAGTTGGCATAGCAACCTTGCTTTATTTCCTCGTTGCCAAGGAAAACCCAGAATATCTGAGATCACTTGCTGGCCTTGTGACTATCATTGTTCTGACGTTTATCACATCTACACATCCAACTAAGGTACTTATGTAACATAATCCATTGTTGTTATGTCAACCATCATTTATCAAATCTGGACATCCAACTTATGCAACATAATCCATTGCTTTGACAACCATCATTTATCAATCTACACATTCAACTAAGGTATGTACATGTACGCAACGGAATCCAATGTTATGTCGACCATCATTTATCAAATCTCCACATTCAACCAAGGTACTCATGCTACAGAATCCATTACTGATTATACCCAATTGTATACCGAGGCCTTTTTTCGAATAAGGACACTTAGGCTTTCTGATATTCTTAATTTATTATTTCATTGTTAATTACCTACATGTATACTTCATCAAAAGCATTATTTGTATCATATCTATTCATATCATTGCGAAAACTTGTCAATTTGGAGCACAATTAATTTTGTCATTCTTATGGTAGGTAAACTGGCGACCAGTTGTATGGGGCCTGGGACTTCAGTTCATATTTGGCCTAGTAGTGTTACGATGGGAGTCTGGATACAAACTGTTTGAGGCTATGGCGAATACGTTTCGAGACTTTCTGAGGCACTCGGACACTGGGTCCATATTCATGTTCGGGGAAGCTTACACCAATCACCCAATCGCATTCCAGGCAAGTTTGGATATTGTACTTCTAAGGCTATTAGACATACCAAGTAGTAATCACTTTTGACTTGACCACAAGTTTGGCAACCTTAGCTCCCCCATTGAACTACGTGTTAAAGCCTCTTTACATGTACCTTTGAATTTTTATTTACTTAACCTGCGATGAAAATACTTATACTATTGATGGAAAAGTAATTTGACTTTATGTCCAATACCTCCAAATTTTCTCACTTTTTTTCCTCTATTACAATAAGTCGAAAATTGATGATAAATTTGATGAATTTTTGAAAATCGACATTCCATAATGGGAAATGGTAGGTTTGCCGCAAGTCATATGACAGAATATCCATCCATCGAGTCCTTGCAAAAAATACGAGTTAGGTAGGCAATTGAATTTGCTAACTTTATTTAACAAAATTTGATATGTTTCTTCAGGTTCAACAAAGTTATACGGCTTTAAAGTCAAAATTGTTTTTCAAAAAAACCCTCCCATTGAAGTAACACAGGGGGCGAAAAATTATTTTCAAAAACGACTTTGAAGCGCTGTAACTTTAGTATTCATCAAATAAACTGAAGATTTAGTGTACAAAAATGTTAGACAATTCAATTTTCTATATAATTTTTTTTGCTGAATCTTTTACTGAAAAGATATCCTTATTTCTGATTTGCCCCGAACCCTCCATTTCCCATTGGTTTACATGGGAATGACGATTTTCAAAAATTCAGCAAAATCATCAATTTTCGACCTATTGTAATTGAGGAATAATTGGGAAAATTTGGAGGTATTGGAAATAAAGTCAAGTTACGTTTCCATCAATATTATACGTTATTTCATCGCAGGTTAAGTTAATAAAAATTCAAACGTAAAGAGGCTTTAACACGTAGTTCAATGGGGGAGCTAAGGTTGCCAAACTTATGGAGGGTGTAACTATATTAACTAGTTTCCTTATTAATTTCTACATATGAGCCAGTACTAGGAGAAGACAAAAGGTTAAGGATTCTGCAATTATTTCAGGCGTTCCCGCAAGCAATCTTTTTTAGTTCTGTGATGTCAGTTCTTTTCCACGTGGGCATTATGAAAAAGGTGATAGGTGGCGTTGGTTGGATAATGGAGGTCACGTGTGGCACGACGACAATAGAATCCATTAACGCTGCAGCAAATATAATTGTCAGTGGAGTAAGTGAGTGTTTCATTTACTCATTTGTCGTGCTATATCTGGCTTTAAATAATCATTATTTGTAAATAATATTTAATCTATACCATGAAGCAATATAGATCCTACTCGGTTTTGTACAAAAGTTTGTTTCTTTTGTGTTCACTATTCAACTATTGAAAGAGTGAATAGAGTATATTCAGTAAAGCTTTAGTGCACTGCATGAACCGGTCAATCATCTTTTGTGTCACACTGATTTTAGATAGTTAATGCCAACTGTACATTTTAAAAAAACAATAGAAAAAGAATGCACTCCTCTTTGTTATAGCTGGGTATTCTAAGAAATAAAACACAGTTCATTCTATTGTGTTGCTACCTAAGTGTGTTTTAATATTCGGTATCACTATGTAACCTTTTCTTCATAACATGGGTATGTACATGGATACATATACTTGTTCGGTGTATTATTTATGATCTAACGTTGAGTTGGGTTGAGTGGCAAAAGTTGCTCATTTGATATCATGTCGTAAATAGGTTGAAACGGCTGTGATTATTCGTCACTGGCTACCTGAGCTGACATATTCGGAGCTACACGCAGTCATGACTGCCAACTTCTCGACTGTTTCAGGAGTCGTCTTTGCACTATTCATCAGTTTAGGAGTAAGTTGGTTATTAAATGATGAAGTTCTTCATTCTTGGTTTATAGTATTCACTATTTAATTCCGAAGTCGCCCAAGATTTGTAGTTTCTCGGTATACATGTAGCCCTGAGACTAACATAAATGGTCTCAGATGTAGCCATATCGGGAATCAAAAATGACTCATTATGGAATACCATCAAATATATTTAACGTGTGTGTGTCATTTACCTCAAACAGATAAATCACAGAGCTTCAATTAGACATTTTGATCAAGTTATTATGTCACCACCAAAAGTGGTGACATATTGTTATGGTCTCCGTTTTTTTGCGACGGCGGTTGGCGTCCGGCGTCTGTAACAATTTCTTACAACTTCCTATAACTTAACAAATACTGTTTAGATTGACTTCAATTTTTTTCTAAATCATCTACATGTTCTCAGAAGTTCAAATCTGACTTTAGATTTGACATTTGACCTTCAATGACCTTCTCAAGGTCAAAAAGGTCTTTTTTCAACTTGCTTCAAATTTACTTAATTTTTTTTTCAAAATCATCTACATGTTCTCAGAAATTCAAATATGACTTTAGATTTGACTTTAGATTTGACATTTGACCTTCAAATCTGACTTTAGATTTGACATTTGACCTTCAATGACCTTCTCAAGGTAAAAAAAGGTCAAAAAGGTATGTTTTCAACTTGCTTCAAATTGACTAAATTTTTTTTTCAAAATCATCTACATGTTGTCAGAAATTCAAATCTGACTTAAGATTTGACTTAAGATTTGACATTTGACCTTCAATGACCTTCTCAAGGTCAAAAAAGGTCAAAAAGGTCTGTTTTCAACTTGCTTCAAATTGACTAAAAAAAATTTTCAAAATCATCTACGTGTTCTCAGAAATTCAAATCTTACTTTAGATTTGACTTAAGATTTGACATTTGACCTTCAATGACCTTCTCAAAGTCAAAAAAGGTCAAAAAGGTCTTTTTTCAACTTGCTTCAAATTGACTAATTTTTTTTTTCAAAATCATCTACATGTTCTCAGAAATTCAAATCTGACTTTAGATTTGACATTTGACCTTCAATGACCTTCTCAATGTCAAAAAAGGTCAAAAAGGTATTTTTTCATCTTGCTTCAAATTGACTAAATTTTTTTTTCAAAATCATCTACATGTTCTCAGAAATTCAAATATGACTTTAGATTTGACTTTAGATTTGACATTTGACCTTCAATGACCTTCTCAAGGTAAAAAAAGGTCAAAAAGGTCTTTTTTCAACTTGCTTCAAATTGACTTATTTTTTTTTCAAAATCATCTACATGTTCTCAGAAATTCAAATCTGACTTTAGATTTGACATTTGACCTTTAATGACCTTCTCAAGGTCAAAAAAGGTCAAAAAGGTCTGTTTTCAACTTGCTTCAAATTGACCAATTTTTTTTTTCAAAATCATCTACATCTTTTCAGAAGTTCAAATTTGACTTTACAAGTTCTCAGGAGTTCAAATCTGACTTTAGATTTGACCTTTGACCTTCAATGACCTTTTCAAGGTCAAAAAGGTCTTTTTTCAACTTGCTTCAAATTTACTTAATTATTTTTCAAAATCATCTACATGTTCTCAGAAGTTCAAATCTGACTTTACATTTGACATTTGACCTTCAATGACCTTCTCAATGTCAAAAAAAGTCAAAGAGGTATTTTTTCAACTTGTTTTAAATTGACCAAATTGTTTTAGGTGGTGACATTTTGTCATGTTAATGCCTTGTTCAATTTTTTATGTGTATGTTGCTTTTCCTAGGCACCTCCTGTCCACGTTGTCTCTGCCGCTATAATGTCCGCCCCGGCGGCCCTGGCACTGAGCAAACTAAGCTGCCCCGAGACTGAAGAAAGTCTTACGAAGAGAGGAGATCTGAAATTAGACATTCCGTAAGTCTTATGATACTCTGTGATCTCCATTGTCATCGGTCCATTCTCCAAACGCAAATCCTGACTGAAATGCTCTCATTGTGGTTGACTAAGATAATTGAATGAAATTAAAAAAAATAGTCCCCTTCCCTTGGTATACAAAATCCAACAATTCCCGAATCAATTCTATAGACAAGGAAATTCTTGATCTTGAGATCCTGCTAACGGATGATTGATATATGGTAGCACATAGTCTATTCAATTTCAGGAAGGCTTCCAACATTCTCGATGCTGCCAGCAATGGTGCAGTTATTACGATCAAGCTCATCTCCCATGTTGTCGTCAACATCATTGCGTTCTCTGGCCTCATGACGTTTGTAAACGCTGCTCTTTCCTATATTGGTGGCAGGGTCGGTTTGGCTGAACTAAGTTTCAAGGTGAAAATAATTAAAACGGTTACCATAGTGCCATACCATTACCAAACTATATAGGTTACTTCAGTCTCCTGACGTGTATCAATCTAATTTGATTCCAAAAATCCCAATCCCAAAATATGATTGTATCTTATGGGAGAAAGACATAGAGATATGCTGGTCATGAAATGGTATTTGAATTAATTACAGTTTATTTGTGGAAAAGTTCTCAGTCCTCTGGCTTACCTTTTGGGTGTAACCTGGGCAGATGCAGAAAAGGTTGGAGAGTTGATCGGAATTAAACTGTTCGTCAACGAATATCTCTCCTACGAGCTAATGAACAGATATTACATAGAGGGAGTCATGACGGTAATCATTTGAATTAGATATGAAACTACGACTACTTCTGCTTATTGTAATACAGCACTTAAATGCACTATGCACTACCTGTATAAACTTTTATTTTTCTTTGTTTTAAATTAAGGAAAGGTCTGTTGCTATAACAACATACACGTTGACCGGGTTCGGGAGTGTGATGGACATTGGAATTGTTGTAGGAGTAATCAGTGCGTATGCGCCCAATAAGAAGGCTGATCTGAGTAAAATGGCGATGAGGACGCTTTTACTCGGGAACGTGGCAGGTTGGCTCACAGCTTGTGTGGCAGGTACCCCCTCCCCCTTCTAGAATGATATTAAATATATAAGCATGCTTTATATTTGAGTTGCCAAACTTACTAATACTACTATTAAACATGAGTGATAGCTGGAATGAGAACAAATCACAAAACACCACTTTTGAATCATTTATAAAACATAAAATACAAAATATTAAAAAGTCCTCATTAAATCTGTCATATGATAAAGTATTTATTTCAGTTTGGTTATTTATTCGACAGGTGTTTTGTATCAGGGCCAGGATTCTTACTATGTCCCGACCAGCAGTGCCATCTTTAATTCAACAACAACTATTTCAACTATGTAACCAGAAACAGAACGTAGAGTTGCTGAATTAAAAAATACTTCCCTTGAAATTATTTGTCATTGGGGTAGAAAAAATAAAATGTATAAATAAAGACATTTTCTCAATTTTTATTATAAAGGGCGGGTTCCATTAAGGGCCCATTCCAGCCTCTACAGATATCTCATGATAATGCATATGATATTGAAGAGGAATTATTTGTGCTTTATAAGAACACAATTTGAGCTCATTTATACCATTGACGTTAACGCGTACAGTCAGTTAAAGGTCACATACATTTTTGGAGTTTTTTTTTTACAAAATGTCATTATTAATCGTTGTCTAAGTTAATAATTTATAGAGATAAAACCAGTTTGAATGTATTGAGATGTTTTCCTTAGTATATGAAATACTGAAGAAAACTATGGTCAGCAACCTTATTTACCTGGAAAAACACAAAGGGCAACATTGATATCAAAGGAACGCTACTTTTATTAAGTAGGTTCTAGGCTAAGCAATGGTTAAAATATAAGTGACTTTGAAAAACTTGACTATCAACTACAGATATAGACATTCAATTATCCGAAAATATACGTTGGAAATTGAAATCCTTCTAGTGGCAACCTAGCAATATGTATTAAAAAACATATACAATTTGTATTTTGTATTTATCGTTTTGTAATTAATTTGAAGTACTTGATATCCATGTAAAAAGGTGTAACGACCTGGGGGCACGCTACAGCTGGGACTGCAGTAGCGACTTGCTATCGAGGTACACCATACCCCTCTGGAGGACGACGTCCCGCTGTAACTGACCATTTTTATATAAATGGAAAAATAGATGACAGCAAGTGTTGGTAAGGCCAGAATACATGGACACACATAGCAAGAGTCGCTTAATTTCTTGAGCTAACAAGTGGTTCTATTTGGATCAACATAAAACACCATTGGAATGTAACTATATGAACTTATTGATATGCTGATATGTCAATGGGGATTTAGACCGACCTTTTTCAACATGAAAATCTTTAAAATTTGCATAAAGATAAATAACTGTGCAAATCAAAGTTGTTTTGATAGAAAATCACACACAGAATTCAATCCCATCAAATAGAACAAACTGTTTGTCTTTAATGGTTTAAAATGCAGATCTACTAAAATCTCATTAAAACGAGTTATTAACCACCACTGTAACGACCTGAGGGCACGTTCGTCTCGGGGAGCTGTATCGTAACGAACCAGATACTACAGTATAATCAAGAGAGGGAGTGTGCTAAATTCAGTGCCTCATACGGGAATCGAACCCAGGACCCACAACTCACACGTTCTACCCCTGAGCCACAAGGGCTCATCACTACAGCTGAGACTGTAGTTGCGACTTGATATCGAGGGTCATATTACAGGAAATAAAGAAATATGGTATACACCTCCAGTTCTTCACTCAGCTACAGTTTAAGACCTGTTGTAATTAGTAAGAATCAGGGATTCTTTTGTTAAGGAATAAAGAATCATGTATCTCTCTATATTGGAAAAACATAGTGCATGTATTAACCCATACACATACAGGTTCGCCTTCCTGCATTATTAGAATGGGTTAGTACATGCATGAGTGCTTTTAAATTTCCAATTCAGAGTGGTACAGGATTCTTTATTAATATTGCCATTCAAACATGACCCTTGGTCAATACTGGTAAGAAGGCAACATGAAAAACATTTATTGAGATTGAAACTTTGGATTTATCAATTTGGATAAAGAAATACATACATGAAATCGGCACTGAATTATAAAAATATGGAATTTAAAGATACCAAGTGTGCCTCACAGGTAATCATTGTTTTTTGGTTTGAATCTACTTGGTACTTCAACAACTACAATGTTAACAATTTTTCCCCACTCATTTCAGATACAGATTTCTGTAGACCAATGTCAACTATTTCTGATGTCTTTTTGAAGGGTTTGTTAACAATCTCCGTTCCATTCATCAGTTGAATTTTATATAAATCATTCACTTCATCTATTGATACTTCTGTAAGATTGTTGCATTCTTTGAAAGCTTTTGAATTTGCTGACATCTTTGTTTTTACAATAGAGCGCGCTGCGGAGCCTAAAGCTGGACTCGTATATGTTTTAGAAGTAGAGGTGTTGGGTTACAATTGATATTCCTTTGAAATCTATTTAGAATTTTTTAGTTATAAATTTATTTTAGGACATTAAAATAATTGATTTGATGCTGAAGTTTGTAGAAAAGATGCAACACGTTACACATAGTTGGAAAGTTATAGCATTGGCACTTTGATGATATTGCGTCACTCCATTTGTAACAACAGTACAGTTCGGTGCATTATGAAAAATTAAATGCATTGTAAAATGATTTTTGTGAATATACATATAGATTAATGATCTAACATGCTTTAAGCTGATTGGCTGAGACACACTTGGTATATTTTTGAATACAACATAATTTAATAAGATATCTTTATAACACAAAATATAAGATCTTGTAATTCCGGGCTCAACGATGACGTCAGAAGGAATGACCATATAAAGAACGTCGGTCAAATTTGGCCGACGAACACTGATTGGCGCGGTGAGTTCAAAGGTTTATTTTAGTTTGAAAGAGTGAAGACGAAGCTCTCTTTTAAGAAGTGAAGTCAAACGAATGCAAAGGGTAGTTTTTGGAACAGTATATTCAGGAAACGTTGCACCGGATTGACATCGTAACATCGTATTGAAAGTCCATGCTAGCAAGCTTGCCACTGGCTAATTCTACTTTTGATTTATATGCTCATATTGTAATTATCAAATATCTATCCTATTTGCAGGAACATTTCTTCTTCTTTTCTCGTCCAATTCACGTCTTTATTAGGTGAGTATGAAAGTTCTATGTTCTGCCTCACGTGTCTCCTTATTCACATACTTAACATGAACATAGAGGTAGCTTCTTAATTCTGGAGAAAACATGCCATATTCTTCACCAGCACCAGATTCTTCCAAGTTTCTTATTTGAAGACCCGGCGTTCTGCAATGAAATCAAATATGATCATTGAATTTCAAATTGGAATTTATTGGACAGAACAGATTGGAATTTATTGAATCAACACGTGCTTAGTATTTATGAAAACATTGATAAGACTCGTACATGTAAGAGATTTCGTGTTAACTTGTTTTATCCTAATATAATTATAAGCGAACTGAAATTATAACACTTTCCCAGAAGAATTAAAGTTGTTAAGATCAATCCAATAACAACTACTTCTTCTATCATCTACATTGATTATTTCGAGTTTATGAAAAATACATACACTGAATATAGGGCTAATATTGCTTCCTAGTCAACTGGTACCCAAGACAACTCGTACCCAAGACAACTCGTACCCAAGCTTATTTTCAGTATTATGGGTGCATATTAGGGAAAAAATTGAGTTTGTACTGCTTTCATGTTATAATGTGAATCAAATAAGCCTCAATATTTTTTTGAATTTAGACGACATTTTTTCTCAATAGATCAGTAAAGCATTTTTATTAAATAAGAGAAGTGCTTGAAGCGCTTGTTCTCAACATTTTTTTGTCAAACATATACATATACATGTATATAAATAAATATAATTACAACATTAGATCTGACACTTGTTCCAAACACTCATAAACATACAATATTTTGAAAAATGGTTATAAACATATATGTCTCTTCACTCGAACATCCTGAATCTGTGACCAATATAAAATAATTGTCAATATAAATTGACCCTCAGCTCAAAATGTCACAAAATTAAATCAATTTCTTCCGAAAATTCTTCTTCAAACTTTTAAACTATTCTGAACAGTATGTTACAATTAAAATATGTATATCTATTCACATTCCCAGTCCAATGCTTGATTCAAAACAAAATATATACTTGGGTACGAGTTGTCTTGGGTACCAGTTGTCTTGGGTACGACTTGTCTTGGGTACGAGTTGACCAGTTACCCTAATATTGATAAAAGTGTGGCGGAATACTATACGCAAACTTAACCTAATCGAGCCAACAAAAAGTTCCAAAAAGCAAGCCAAATGCCCCTGTTTTATTCTTACTTTTGAAAATGGATTCAAGCAATACTCTGCCAATAGTCTCAACAAGTAGATTCATGTGGGAGAGTATCCATTTTTCCATTTTCCATTTGCTAGAATCCATTTTCAATTGTAAGAAACGGGGTTCTTAAACAGGACATTGAAGCTTAACTAAGGCCTTTTGACATTTTAGGTTGGTACTAAATTTTCTAAAATTCCAGATTTCTATAGACAATATATTGATTTAAACGGGCACATCACTGAATTTCATGTTAATTTATTTTAATTTTTTAAATCTAATTTTACCCTTCCCACGAGCCCAAAAGTTTAAAAATTTGGGGAAAGTGGCAAACTATATTTCTATTATTTTGGACATGAGAAACAGAAGTGATACCTGCATTTCGTTGTACACTCGGCAAGCTGTTCTATATCACTAGTTTCCTCTGTTGATTGCGATGGGTCGACAAAGCACTCTCCAAAACACGTCCATTCTACATTCTTGTGTTTTATTGCGTCAGATGGCAATACGGTCGCTATGGTGACAGTCATCAGTAGCAGCACAGCTCTTGCTTGAATCATCTTTGGAGAAGTATAGTAGTATCAAAGAACTAAAATAAAAAAGAAAGTATTAAAAATATTGTAAACAACGTTTTCGATTTCCAACTAATGTGTCAATTTACCTTCTCAAATATAGGATTTCAAAATATTCTCGATATGCTTTATATGAAGTGATTAAATTTAAAATCCTCGTCATCAATGATGATATACTGATTCGGAATTTTTAATAATAGTATTTTTACATTTAGATTATCTTCTTCATTTATATAGTGTTATGCGATCGGTTTCAACAGGAGATGAGTTTGAAAATGTATTCATCACAACTATCTTGGGCAAAAACTGACTTTCAAAGTTCTTGCTACAGAAATTAGTATGCTATGCAATGATATCATTCATATTAACTAATAGATGTGTATGACATTCAAATTACAATTTTCATGAAAATGTGACAAATTCGTTTCGAACCAAATGGTTATCCAAAAACATGGGATCTAGAAAATGTAACATGTGATAACATTCAACATGAACAAAAATTGCGTAGTTAGCAGGGCACACGCGAGATATGGCATGTTATCATTTTAACTACATAAATATAATATGATCTTTAAAATAAACTTACCGTTTGCTATGTATTCACTGACAGATTGTATCTTTTGCTTTAAGTGGTCAGTTTAGTAACTCAAACATTGGATGAATTTTAAAATGGTACACTTTTTCGCTTGACTATATGCTGGACATGCTTACGTCATCGGAGAACAATATGAACGCTCATAACGCAGATGATGACGATACTATCTTTTTTTAATTTTGAAGATAATATCTTCACGCATTGGATATTAGAAAGCATTTTTGAGAACGTTATCAATAAAACGTGTCTGTAATTTTCTATCTGTTCAGCTATTACTGCTCAATCGGTCTCATCTAATCAGTTATTATGAAGTAATTAAAATTAAAACAGTAATCTAAAGAGCAATCTATGAGAATCCACAGAAAATCTAAAAGTATCACGAACCTACATGCATTTTTGAACAGTAAAACAAATCTTTGACACTGCCAATATTAAAAGAGATTAATTTGAGTTCTTATTATGAACAACATGAAACTAGCGAAGAAACACAATATGAAGGAAACATGTACATTTATTGCGATTTCACATTGTGTAGCATTTATTATGTTTTTGTAATCATAGACCATTTAATATTTTCTATATAAATGCCAATGTTCTCTCTTACTTTCACACTTACAAAGCATTGCATCACAAGCAGCACTGAACGAAAAGGTAAGAGGGTCATATCAAACATTTTTTAATGATACAGGATTTGAGACAACAGCGAGACATATTTTTACATGGAAATGACAATTTTCAATAATCTGCAATTAACCTTAATTATCTGAAAATGAGAATTGGTATCCGTAAACCTAGAGAAAATCTCAGCTTATTTAAGGTGTTTCAAAGAAAGGGAATGGAAGCTCGGTTTTATGTCAGTCCGGATATTTATTTCTAATATATTCCTTTGACTGATAGATCTGAAATACGAATGCAATTAATGTATATCATAGTCTAGCTACAAGCCCCCGTAACCCCTCCCCCTCCCCCACTACTATGAAACCTTTAGCGAGATATGTTGTGGGGGAGCACAGAGGCTTGTAGCAAGACAAGTTTGGAATATCAGTAGGTATAGGATGCTGCGATTTTTTATTGTGTATTTTAGTATGTTGTCCACAAAGATTTGCATTCTTGTGATCGGCGTTTTGGCACACGTGGCCTTGGTGAAGCCGTGTACCCTCACAGAGTTTATAATATGTATGGCGAACTGTTGCGGACCTCCTCCTCCTCCTCAGGTTTGCAGACTTTCGACTTTCGACGAATTCCGTGATTGCTGGTGAGTCATGTGTCTAGCTGCATACTCATAACATCGATTCTATCAGATTTTCGTTCTGACTTGGGTTAAGGTAGATTTATTTTGGGTCGAAGTAATGCGTGGTATACAGAGTGAAAATGACGTCACCGTTAGGATACGGTCAGAGGGGGAGAAACACCAGGGTTCAAAGATGACATACGCTTATAATGTAAATCTGTATTGCGATGACATCGTCGCTGATTGGTCAAAAGTCGACAAACAAATGACGTCATCAATGGCGGTTTCAAAGTTTTTAAAATACGCTTCGAATCAAGGAGGATTGGCTCCCAGGATCGAAACTCGATATTTTCCAACAATGAAAACGTCGAAATGTCGTTATTTTCTGAAATTAAAACCGACTATAAATTCAAAATAAACAGTTCAAAAGATTCGAACCAATATCTCGATCATTTCTTGTGAGTTTTGGAATTTTTCGTTTGGAAATAAGACCAAAATTCACGATTTAAATGTTGAAGTGAACAAAATGGCGGCTGTTTGAATTCGAATTTTGTATTACGACATACCCATATATGGGACAGAATATCGGTGGTGCACTCTGGGAGCCAATCCTCCTTGGCTTCGAATAATATTATGTTCATTTCTGGCGTGTTGACCAATATCATAGCTTCTCATTTCACATCAAGATAAAGAAAGGTGTACGGAATATGCCTATATGATACGGTTCAGTATCCAAACGTTCCAGAGTTTCCAACCAGGATACGACTGATACTGAAAAAATCAATAGCGATTAGCTATGGCCTTTCAAGAGAAGCCCATGGATTAGTTTACGCTTATATGAGTGCTAATCTTTGCATTTTGCTATAAATCGGGCTATTAATAACTGATTTAAATATCAGGAAATGATACTGTGATCATGGCAATTAATATTTTTGGGACAAAAACGACGACGAAGAGTTGAAAAACGATTCGCTACACTTCAGCTGATAAAATTGAAAATTTCCAGAAAGTAACCTATTAAGGGTCACTAGCAAGTGGTACAATTATGACAAAGATCGGTTGCATATTATCTGAGTATTGACATTTTACAAATTCAAAGATGGACGTCAAAAATCCAACAAGAAACTAGACACGATACAAATAAAAGCTTTGCTTTTCAACTTTAAAAATGGCTTTCCTTTGTTTACAGTTGTCCTCAAGGCATTGCTGGCAAACGGTCTTTAGACGAAGATCTGGCCACATCCTCTAGGAATATGAGATCGTCTCATGGTCATAGAATTGGACAACCAAAGGGAAAAGCCAGGCCTATTCCTGAGGAAGAACAACGGCAAATCGATAATTTGGAGAGATTCGTGAATAAGCCTATGAACCCAGAAAAGGATTCATACATGTTTATTGGTTTACATTATGTACCACAAAAAGGCCCGAAACATCCTGAAGATTCCTCCGTGATTCTCAGCTAAGTAAGTCTTCGATGCCCGTCCTTAAGATCATTTATGAATAAATTGAGTTTCAAAATCTGTTTTACACTCTTTCGTTTTTGAAAAAGGCGACGAATGAAAACAAATTTTGAAATGTTCATAATGACGTACATAAGTTGATCTAATATACCCTCACAATTGATACATACCAAAGATACCTGTATATAAGCATGAAATCAAGCCCACGTTATATACATGAGAATTTACTTCTTGCTCCGTAACGAATCATTGGGTCTCTGCTTCCGGGGACAAAGTCAGTGACGTCATGGTAAAACATTTCATGATTATTATCAGTTTCGAAAATATTCCTGAAAACGCTTTGCAGTTTGTCATATGGACATATAGTTTTATCGTTTGTGCAAATATACGTGAAGAGGAATGTCAATTAAAGCTGAAATAATGTGATTAAAATCAGACCCTGTATATTGCAATGGGGAAAACTGGTTGCAAAAATCTGTACACGGACAACGAGAGGTAAGAATATTGTTGTCCTATTTTGAATATGCTGTGGCTGTGGGAACATTTGTGAAGCAGATCTGATTGTGTCTTATAGACGCGTTATGTACTATCTATATAACCAGAAGAATGCTCTAAAGAATATTAATATTGATAAAATAAATAATAAAGATAAAATGTTTAAAAATACATTTGAAAATTCATTTATGCAATATGTTAACGGAAAATATTTGTTATAGCTGGAAAACGTTTAACATTCAAACATTAGTACAATAACGTCATTTCGAAGGGTAATATAGTGATATATTGGACCGAGGGCCGAGGGCCCAAGGTCCAATATTTCACTATATTGCTCGCAGAAATGACGTTATCAGTATTATTACCACCGTTAATGACCAGGACTGAAACAGCAAGAAAATCTTACGTACTGAACGATATCTAATTTCCCGGGGAAAACTGCAGGTCGTTAAATACATTCTTGACCGGCAATATTGACCGCCACTGTGACGTCACACATTGCTCAGATCGATATAGTAAAATGAATGCCTTCTAAACTAGCACTAAAACCTCCTGGCAAGGTGGTAATAATACGTTTTATTGCGCTGAATGCCGCCTGTTGTGATTCTAGCAAGGTGAAGAAGGCAAACAGCATACTTTGGACTTTTAAAATTGCAATGATACAAAGAGAATTGTAGAATTAACGTTGCAAATTATTTTTCAGAGATTTCCTTTTTGAAAAACTTACGCAGAACTCAATTTACACATATAGCATCTGTGACGATCAAGACGACGGGCTTATTTTTCGTTGACGCATTCCACTTTCGATGTCCCTCTTCAATTTTGGAAACAAGACAAACGAAACGATACGCACGTACTTCAGCTTTACCATTCATGACGTCACATCGTCCCTTATTGGGTTATTCTACAATTGATTTTGCTGCTATATCACCGGATTACTCCCCCTCCCCCGTTGTGTGTCACCATGTTGAAATACAGTCAATACACAAAGCAAGTGGACCCATATTGGCATTGTAAAGAACTGTGGATCCATCGTTTCCATTTTAAATGCTTTGAGAGATCTTCCTTTGAGAACATTCAGACACCATCTTCGTACGCTCGGTCTTCACTGCGTTCATCGAGTGAACGAAGATGTTCAGACACTGAGTCAGCTCTCTACATTTGTTGGAATTACATGTCAACGTTTGATCAAATATATCTAGAGTAGTTTGAAATTGCACGAAACCCATATAGTTCTGTTGATTTTGTTGATATTTTAACATAATTTCAATTGATACTCTCCACTTCAAAAGTTTGATAAACTAAGTGTAATATTGAACAAATATACTGTCGTAATCATACTGTCGCTAGCTAGATAGTGATATAATAATATTGATTATTATATCACTGTCATATTCCCCACATTCTTATGTCACGTGAAGTCACGTGACTTCCGGTGAATATCAAATGATATTCAACGGTCATGACTTATACTATTTATCCTGTTTCCCACATGGCCAATACTATGAGTATAAACAGAATGATTCACTTTTCATTGACCATTGCAATTATAATGTTAACATGAAACCTTAAATTAAAATACTACAATTTGGGAGTTGATATTTATGACTATACAATTTGGTAGTTGATATTTATTGTTATATTGTTAGAAGAAATATAAATGTATTTCAATGTTAACATATGACTTATTTAATTATAGAAGATGTTATGACAGTGATATAATACAACAAATATTTAATTCTATTTTCGGTGAATACCTGTGACACGTTCACAAGATGATATTCCACTAGCCCTTCAATTCACAAGATAAAACTAGCTATATACATGGACTTCAAATAACTATTAGAAGTCCATGCTATATACAATTATATACATTGTTTATTTACATGTTCTATCCCTATCCCCAGATAGCCTATATATAGACAGGTTCCAATTTCAGAATATCTCAAGGGAAAGACTTTTTGAGGCATTTTTTAGAAAAAGCAACAGACCTATTTTTTCTGGATCAGTTTTTCATGCTGATAAAGATATTAAAAGATGACAGCTCAACGGGGTGGTCACGACACTGCATTTTAGCGTTTTTACCCCCCTAGGAAATTATCTTAGGGGGTACTATAATATTAGTTCATAACTCAAAGGATATATAAACTATTGTTCTGAGTTATACAGCATACATTGTTAGTACAGAGATGAATACTATCCTAAAGTTATAGGTTGATATCTTTGTTGGTTTCGGAAAAATACAATTAATTAGAAAAAAATATGCAATTTTTGTCATTTTTTCTTGCTTATTTTATATTTGTAGCTTCAAGCAAAATATGATAACTTTAACAGCTCAAAGTAGTATTCTAACAACATTCCCAAGCTATGTTTGATATTGTAATACATCTATTATAGTGATTGAGTACTATTTTGTAATTTTAATATGACTTTATAATGCCCTACCCCTGGTAAATAGAAGGAAGTTGGTGTGGTTTTCTTCTGGTTTTAACATTTTATTGACTTCTTAGTTGAAGATACAATCAATTCTGTCAGTTAACCATGAGTAGCTTTACAATGGTTAACTATTCCCATGAATAGAGGGTTGGGACCTCAAAAATACCAGAACTGTTAAGTGGCATCCTTGGGCATCCCTCTTCAGAGCATTTTCCTTATACTCCGATGAAATCTGCAGGGGATACTATAAGAAACCTATATATCTAAGATACTAATGAAGATACTGAATTCAAATTTGCAGGATTTGGTCCTGGTATGATAGGTAATCTGTATGACAAAAATGACAAAAAGAAAAAACTCTGTTGCCATAGTAACAAGAATACCACACTATTTGTTTCCTAAGAAATGTGTTAAGAGGTTTTGTCATTCTCTTCATATTTTTAATTCTAAATATGTCTACAATGTGGGATGATTAGAATTATGGTAAAATAATCTTTTCTATTATTTTATTGTTCTCTAAAACAGAAGTTGCTAAGGCTATTTCGCTTCTATGTCATAAAGATATGATATGATCTCAGGTCAATCAATAAATTTCACAAGTGACACTCTATCTTATGAAGAAAATACTATTGTATATTTGAAGACATGTCAAAAATTTGGTGGAAATAAATTGTGTCACTCCTGATTTGACCTGCAAATGTTCAGGTAAGTTATCACAAACAATTTCAGACAGTTATATCTTTGATTATGACTATTTCCAGACCATGAAGACAGGTATACAGGGATAATAAAGTCAATCGGACTCGGAGACATTTCACTAGCAATCAACCCATTAATATATTTTTTCAAAGTTGTTGACCTCATTTTCACCAAAAATACAATCATTTTAATAACAATGTTTAATGCATTACTTTTCTTTATTTTAATATATCAAATAGCTCTTGAAACGAAAACTGAATTCCCCTAAGATTAGTGTTCCCCATGTTATTTCCCCTTTGAAAAATTCATGCTATCCATTGGTTTCAGTTCATTTTGGTCATCCAAATTCAGTGTCTTTAAAGTCCCTGGAGCAATCCACTTTTCCTCTTAGGAAATAGAACATGTCTCAAAGCAAATTCTAATTATGCATTCAACAATATAATTAAAGGTTGCATCTTTGGTAAAAACTAGGTCATCATTTTTAGTAAAAAGTATGTTGATTGGGCCATTCCCTTTAATATCACTTAGGTCTGATTAATCATTATATTTACTTTTCTTGAAGATAATGAATAGATCTAAAAGATATACCTATGTTCATGGTCAGAAAATATTCATAATTCAAGTTGTTTGCGATAACCTACATGCTCCTTTATAACATTATTATGTAAATACTATCAAATGCTTTAGTCATGACAGTTGAAGTAAACTGAAGTCTTGGTATTAAAATGCAGAATCAGATCTATGTAGAGTAAACAAAATTGAAAGCAACATGTACAGTTGACAGTACAGTGTGATGCAACATCGGTGGGAAAGTCATCTTTGGTTAATAAAAAAAATTCTTAGCTACTTTTCTAACATCTGGCTGTGATGCATCATGGCTTAATGAGGACTCTGCTATATGGTCAGATGATGAGAACTAACAGTTTTACGGAACTTTTGCCATGTTTTGCACATTGTAAATGACCCTTCTGAATGGGTTGTAAAGGTATATACCAGGAGGTATATATGGCTCAAATGACTCGTGCCCTAGAACATGTGGCACTGTAGTACATTACTTGTTGCATGATGACCACCATAGTCTAGTTGCTCAAATGAGATCAATCAGTGATGATTATAATGTTTAGACTTTATGTCAATGTCCTCTCTAGTATGTGATTACACTAGATTTCATTATGATACCTGTACTAAATTGAAAACTTACATATAAAATATATTAAGTCCTATATTCTAGTAACAAATGAATTAGAATGTCACCTAACATTTGATGATGGTATGAATTTATTGATTTGGTGTCTATCAATACATGTTTCTAACTTAATGCTGCAAATTGATTAAATTCACCACATCCACTTTCTTCAATTTTCCAGGGGTAGGGCACTATAAAGTCATATTAAAATTACAAAATAGTACTTCATAACTAAAATAGATGTATTACAATACCCCATATAGCCTGGAAATGTTTTTAGAATACTACTATGAGCTGTTAAAGCTGTCATATTTTGCTTGAAGCTACAAATATAAAATTGGCAAGACAAAAATTGCGTATCTTTTTCCTGTTTATTGTATTTTCTCTGAGACCAATAAGGGTATCAACCTATAACTTTAGGATAGTATTCATATTTGTACTAGCAATGTATGGTGTAGAACTCAGAACAATAGCTCATATATCCTTTGAGTTATGAACTAGTTTCATAGTACCCCCTAGAATATTTTCCTAGGGGGGTAAACATGCCAAAATTCAGTGTCGTGACCACCCCGTTGAGCTGTCATCTTTTAATATCTTTATCAGCATGAAAAACTGATCAAGTAAAAATAGGTCTGTTGCTTTTTCTAAAAAATGCCTCAAAAACTTGAATTATTAGAATTGGAACCTGTCTATATATACATGCATATAGATTCAAAAAGCTACAAAGTAGAGAAATATGCTAAAAACGGTGATTGAAGAGATCGCTAACACTCGAAATGGCGACCAAATTATCGCCCGGAACATTTCAAGAAATATTTGAGAATTGAAGTTGAGTTAATGGTAAGTGTCATGAAGGATACGAGATGTTAAGATATTTAGGTCTACCATTGACTGCTATACCCTCAAATACCACAATATATTCATTTGATAAAATAATTAAAATTTTTGAAATACACAACAGTATGAATTTGGACCAAAATGTAAGACTCAAACGGAACCTTTCAAGTCACCCATCCTTTATTTCATGAACAGATCCGCCATTAGGCGGATTTTAATCACTTTTTGAAGGAACTCTGAATTTGCTGTGAGACTTGAGATAGGTGTATTCATTTGAAACTGTCACTAAAAATCAAGATATATTCTTATTAATGTTTTAATGTGAATGTTCAATTGAATAAATATTGGCTTCGAACGGAGTAACCTTGGTTTAAAATAAAGCATTGTAGACCTAAACTGGAAGATATCAAACCCCCCCCCCCCCCCCCATACATGTAACCTTGAAACCTTTAATAACCTTTTGTATCTATTATTTTAGAAACTTATGCTAAAACTAAAGTAGACTAGGAAGATTATAGATTTATATTTTTTATCATTATTGATTTAAAGGTGCAACAACTAGTGCAGGGGGCCCATTCAACGATCATCAACCAGTGCCAAAATATATTTAAGTTTGAATATTTCACCAAGACTGACATATATTTTTTTATCTACAAAGAAACCCCCTGGATGAACATTATTTCAGCTGATATTCCTTTTGAAACGTTGTGGATCTTAAAAATCTATAAGTGGGACTCCCTTTATAGAAGCTTTGAACTGAATTTACACTTTATAATGCTGAAATTGATAGTTTATCCATACATTTTCAGAAAATAGGTTTGTCAAAGAAGATGTTAAGCTAAATATTGATTTGATAGCTCAGAAAAATTTTTAAAAAAAATTCCCTCTACAGTCCTTGTTGCCCCTTTAATATTATGTTTTGAATAACTGTACGCCTATCCCAGTGTCAGTGTGATATCAATGCTTCTGGGAATGGATCCATCGGCCTTCACAAAAACAGAACATGTATACATCAGAAGTATGGAAGTCGTGAGAAAGTTAACACTGGGACGCCATTCTCTTGAATAGACTCCAGTTAAAACATTTGAAATAATAATCAAACAAAAAACATACTTCAAAAAATAACTCGAGAAACAAAAACTCAATAATTAATTGTGGTTTTTACGACGATAGAGATATTGCAAGACATTTATAAAATCAATTAAATACACAAGATAAAAATTAAGAAAATACTGTCAAACGCTAAAAGGGACCCCTTGATATTATTGGTAACGTAGGTGATAGATAGACTATATAAACTATATAGCTAAAAGTCACAACTTTTTAACTACAAACAAACGCTTGAACTTGACAGATCATCAGATAGACGGTGAGCAAAAAGGAATTTCTCAATAGCAATTCCTGATTTTGATTCTGAATTGTGTTTTTGAATGTTTATCGGAAAGGCGACGACGATTGCGCATTAATGCAAGCGTACATAAATTATCATACACTACTAAACATATTACATTGTAGACTTCAGAATGTTGTTATTTACTCATTGTGTTTTCTAGTAGGATGACTGCAAAAGTTTGCATCCTTGTTATTGGTATTTTGGCAAACGTGGTATTGGTAACATCATGCGGTGGAGTAGATTTGTTAAGATGTACACTCCTTTGTTGTTATAAAAAGAAATGTCAAATTGACGATATAGGTGATCTCTTGGATTGCTGGTAAGATTTCTTAATTCACGAAACACTATAAAAATGAACAGATCTAAGTTGTTTTACCGGAATAATATGAATTTGGAGTATTGAATGTCAACGAAAAATATGAGCCGAGAGATTGAAACAATTTTTTGGAAAAGTTGCCGCTTTGCTAGATCTGATTCTGCCTTAAAAATAGTAACATCCGAACGGAAAACTACGAATCTTCAATGCGATTTCTCGAGGTCCGCCTTCTCTCTCCTTAATTATTTGTAGTTGTCCTCAGGGCGATGGTGGAAAACGGTCTTTGGACGAATATGACATGACCGAATCGTCTCAAACGCCAAGATCTCCCGGCCTACTGAGACAATCGAGGGGCCGGGATAAGCTCAACGATCAAGTCAAACTTGATACTTTAGAAAAGTTCATGAATAGGCGTCTTAACCCAAAGAAGGATTCTTACATCTATATAGGATTCCATTATGTTCCAAAGCGAGGAGAGCCAATAGATTCCTCTTTGATGCTGAGCTAAGTAAGTCTTTCGTGAATTACATTTCCGGTTTTCAATTCAAGTGGTATCTATTTTCATAATTGGGATATATTTATGAGCACTGTACATAATGTTGTTTATTGTTATCATTGGACCTTGGTCACGATCGTCCTTGTACATATAATTACAATATGATGCCCTTTATTCGATCTGGTTGATCATATCAAAATACTCAATTTTGTCCAAAACTGAATACAATTTTGTTATCAAGGTCCACAACTTCCAGTCTGGGATCATTGGATCAATGTTGCGATATTATTACCTTTAACCAGTTTTATCCTCGTTCTGTACACCTAAATTACATACCTCAATAAGCTTACATTCTTGAACTCTTTAAATGATGCTTTTCAGTTGACCAAACCAATTATCGTCTAGGCTGCATTGGTAGAACGAGGTTATTTAGCTTTTTCATCGATAGATATTTCATCACTTTTCAAAATGTCCGTTGTATTTAGTAGGGGATTCCCCTTATGACTAGTGCATGTCGGTGTAAAAGAAATTATGGTCCCCTGGGGATTATGGTCCCCTTTCTTAAAGGCCCTTACTGGCCCTGATTGTGGATACGATAATAAGGGAAAGAGTTGTACTTAGGTCACCATATAAATCAATGGAAAGTAGGACATAAGTTGATAGGACCTCCTACCCTTTTACACCGGGACCGGATGTACCACTAAATGGAGGAATTTGACGGTTGAAATAAGTTAAATATTATATTTCTATCAAAAACAAAGATTTCACCGTTCTGCCGATAAACCAAGACGATGATGGGTTTGAAAAACTAAAAGCATCATTTAGAGTTTAATAATGTATTGCGGTATGTAATTTAAGTGTACAGAACGGGGATAAAACTGGTTAAAGGTAATAATATCACTGGTGATCCGCTCGATTACGCTGGTTACCGAAACCAACCGTTTCGGTAACAAAATGCCGGAACGTCGAAGGTACGATTTTTATCTTTTCCTTAAGCCACAAAAACGTGTTTCAGTATCATATGTTTTAGAAAATGTACATGTTTTGGAAAAAAATAGCTCAGAAGACAACCGAATCGTCGATTTAATTCCTCACTTATAAGTTACATAAACGGTTTGGGTTAAAAGTGCAAATCTTAACTTTTTTCGAAATACTTAAATCGACGACTCTGTTGTCTTCTGAACTATTTGTTCGCAAATATGTATATTTTCATATGATTGATACACGTTTGTGATAAAAATGTCGTGGGAATTCTACCTACAAAGTGTGAAATAAGGAAAAAAGAAAAATCGTACCTGCGATGATCCGACATTTTGTTACCGAAACGGTTCCAGCGTAATCGAGTGGATCTCCAGTGAATATAGCAACATTGATCCAATGATCCCTATGTATATCCAAAATTATGGCATATTCTATACTTTCTATACTTTCGAACTGCTTTTTTTTAAATGATACTTTTTTCAGTCTTAGACGATTGGACTCTCTAAAGTCTATACATGTCTATACTTTCTATACTGTCTATACTTTTGATTTTGGTGAATTCCCTATGTCTATACTTTCGATACTTTCTATACTTTACATTTTGGTGAAATCCCCAAGTCTATACTTTCTATACTTTCTATACATTGTAAAAAAATATGTGACGTCATAAGTTTCTTGGTCACTTTCGATTTTGGTGAATTGCCTCAATGTATTGTAAAAAACAGACAGTTATGGGGAAAAGCAGATAGAAAGTATAGAAACTATAGACATCTGATTTGTCGAAGACAATTATGGGGAAAAGCAGATCGAAAGTATAGAAAGTATAGAAACTATAGACATTTGATTTGTCGAAGACAGTTATGGGGAAAAGCAGATCGAAAGTATAGAAAGTATAGAAACTATAGACATCTGATTTGTCGAAGACAGTTATGGGGAAAAGCAGATCGAAAGTATAGAAAGTATAGAAACTATTGACATCTGATTTGTAGAAGACAGTTATGGGAAAAGCAGATCGAAAGTATAGAAAGTATAGAAACTATAGACATCTGATTTGTAGAAGACAGTTATGGGGAAAAGCAGATCGAAAGTATAGAAACTATAGAAACTATAGACATTTGATTTGTCTAAGAAATTTCTGGGAAAAAGCAGATCGAATGCATCTGATATGTTGAATACAGTTCTGGGAAATAGCAGACAGAAAGTATAGAAACTACAGACATCTAATTTGTCAAAGAAAGTTTTGTGAAAGGCAGATAGAAAGTATAGAAAGTATAGAAACTGTAGACATCTGATTTGTCGAAGACAGTTATGGGAAAAAGCAGATCGAAAGTATAGAAAGTATAGACATCTGATATGTCGAAGACAGTTCTGGGAAATAGCAGATAGAAAGTATAGAAACTATAGAAACTATAGACATCTGATTTGTCTAAGACAGTTATAGGAAAAAGCAGATCGAAAGTATAGAAAGTATAGAAACTATAGACATCTGCTTTGTCAAAGGCAGTTAGTATGAAAGGGCATTTCGAAAGTATAGAAACTATAGACATCTGATTTTTCAAAGGCAGTTGGTATGAAAAAGCAGTTCGAAAGTATAGAAAGTATAGAAACGTCGAAGGCAGATAGTATGAAAAAGGAGATCGAAAGTATAGAAAGTATAGACAATGTATAGAAAGTATAGACATTGCCATAATTCTGGATATACCTCATGATCCCACGACTGTAAGTTGTGGACCTCGATAACAATTTTGAGCAAGATACTCAATCGGCCGGGCACCGGCCGATGAATAGAAACAAATGTGACCCAGGCATAATAACCCAGATGCGAGTAGAAATAATCTTGATTTACGTCATTAAAATTCAAAATTCAGTCAAAGTAATGTCATATTTGAAATCTACATGTAAAATTACATCTAGAAATGTGGTTTTAAAAAGTGTTTATCATATTTGAAAAATTAATTTTCTTTGAAAATGTGACTTCTAGCTCGGGGAGATTCCTAATAAACCAAATGCTATAAAATCACAAAAAATGAAATATCTTTTCTTTTAGTGGACAGATAATATTTTGCTTTACTGGACATATTTTCATTAGTATAAGTATCAGACGCATAAGGGTTATATGAAAATTGAGCCACTTAAATTGATAATATTCTAGTTTAAGGGAACTTTCTTATATACCCGCCATGTTAATTGACCCGAATCAGCCACCTGGTTGTGAAACTGGTAACTACCTACTCGCATTTGGGTAATTAAAACTACGACGCAGAACATTCCAACCGTCATGTGGAATAGTCCGACCTCAAAATGCGCAAATGCCCGATACTCAGAGAAAGAGTCGAAGGCCTTATTTAAATGTTCGTTTCGCGGACCAGGGTACACCAGGGTTTAAGGCCATTCCAAACTAAATAAGTGTTTAACGAGGCCACAAAATATAGCTTATGCCAACGAGTGCTTCTGGATAATCGTTTGAAATTGTACAATCATTTTAAATGAACTTTTCCAACTATTACATGGAATTTGCTTTCAAATATGAACACAAAGAAGTTCAATGGAATATTGCAAAATATCTCTCATGAATAATATTATGTATTGATGAATATAACCAAAAAAGTTTATATATTTCATGTATTTAAATTCGATTTTTATGACGTGACTTTTATTGCTTTCAGGATGAACTGAATAGCCTTTCTTCTGTTGACTCCGGAAAGATGCTACAGTATCATCAAAATCAAGCAATACTTACCTCCTACTGACTCTGGCTTGAAAAACTAAAAAAAACTATGAGATAGCAAAATTCCGAATCAGATTTACTTATAGCATTGTAATGTAATATAAGAAAGTAATGAGCAAGCAATACGTTCTATTCTGTACAGTACAAAGAAAATAAGCTCATAATTCAAAGTTCGAGAAATAAATGTTCGATTTTGCAAAACGCTGCGTGTTATCTTACAAAAGATGCTGATTTTTTATGACATAATTATCTATATCTAAAAATTTTATCGTTGTTGTGGAAACTTGACTCTAGCATATTTTTCCAGCTGTTACAGATTTTACGAAATTATTGGTGCAAACTGAACCTTTTTAGAAATCATTTGTTTCATGATATAATTTGTTATTTCAGTTAATTAATTAATTTATGAATTAAAATAATATTTGTTCCTCGTTCAATTAGAGTTAGCAAAATATGTACTGTATATTAAGAAAAGATGAGATAGTGTCATGCGCACTGTGAGAATCTGTCAGTGGCATCGTAAAAACATACTAGTAACACTAATAGGCATGTCGTTTCAACTACAAACACAACATACGAACTTAACTAAACAAAAGGTAAGACACAATTTCTCACGTCAAAATCATAAATTCGGTGTAAATTTTTGTTTGTTTGCTATTTGTGGCGACAAATTCAGAGTAGTGACTGTGAGCTGAAAAAACATGTGTTATGAAGTTAAGTAAGGTCATACTTTCGTCGGTTATTTCAATAGAAATATACATACTATTTCTTTTGCATGTCACTATAGATAGCGTACATTAGGGATAGTGATCATCCTACTTAATAGTAAGTCGAAGCAATATATATGTATGAAGCTAGTATAATCTGACACTGGCACCCGTCAATTTAAAACCAATAAGACTCGTATGTCGACGCATAATATGACTCGATTGAGGGAGTTGAATACAAATTGAAAAGGAACACTTATTATGTCTACACCCTGAAAATGTAAATGGCCTTTAAGAACATAGCCCCATCTATTTAACTGTCAGAGAAATTGCAATTATTAGGCTTGGTGAGGGAGATATTTTGCCAGATAATGCCCACGGCAAAGTGAAATGTCTCATGTTTGAACGAAACAGAAATTGTTTCATCGACAGAAATGGAAACAAACGCCAGTACCATCTATTTGTCAAAAACATTAACAATCAAAATTAATTTAGTACGTTGTTTTTCTATAGTCAGATTACAGTTAATTATACTATAAAAATGGTTTATTAGTATACAGGGCGTTTCAAAAAAACGCAACAAGTAGTTATCTCGTAAAATCACAAAACTAATGATGACTACATCAATTTCATTCAATTTACCATAAAGTCACATCTCTCCTTTTTGCAATGATATGTCAATTATTCACATGTGGTAATGGTTGGGTGAGAAATCCTTCCATTTGCACAGTGGGTCAAAATCGCCTCTGCTCCAAGTTTTAGATGTTGCAAAAATCAGTACAAGGGCTAAGTGCCAATGGATGTTCCCCTGACTTGAATTGTTGTGACTTTTTCTTTTGGAGCTATCTCAGGAGCATCTGTGCTCACAATTCCTCCACCAGATATTGCAAAACCTCGAGAAATAATTGCCAATGGGCTGCTTTTCTCTGCTTTAACCCACAGATGACTCAAGGCTGAACCATGCATGACATGGACAGATGAGCGCATCTTTATGTGCAAGGAAGTGGTGGCAATTTGGAGGGGTTATAGGATGCATTCTTGCAAGAGTATGAGTATGAACACTTTACTGTCTATGTCACACCTGTCACACCTTCCTCCAATAGCCCCTATGCCCCTTGTACTGACTTTTGCAAATGGAATGATTACTCGCTCAACCATGACCAAATATCAATGAATGATATATCATTGTAAAGAGGAGAGACGTGGCTTTATGGTGGAAACCAATGCTGTTATCACTGGTTTTGTGCTTTTCCGAGATAACAATCTGTTGCGTTTTTTTGATACGCACTGTATAATCACCATATGAGCAAACTTTATACCTCTTATATACCTCATATGTACTCTGTAAACAAGAACAAAATGAGAGTTTCATTTGAACATTTTATGCTTCTAGGTTCTTATTGGCATGTAAAGGCATTTTGCCTTTCAACTCCTATAATCTCAGCTATCGGGGAAGATCAAACGTACTAATGACTGGTCACATGACCTAACTGGTGATTAGTACATTTCATCTTCCCTGATAGCAGGGATTTAATAATTTCTAGGGAATTAATACATCTATTTCATACCATGTGACCATGAATAAGGCAATGAACATCTAGAATACATATGAAGTATATAATAATAGTATATAATTAGTAATTACCATATGGGCAAACTTTAGGATGGTTTAACTGTTACGCGGAATATGGCATATATTCATGGTTGCGCGGTATTTGTAATACGGGTGAAAATGCACGTATCACGTTCTCATTGGTTAGTGAGTATGCAATATACCGCAGGTGAATCTGTCATACACCGCAAGTAAATATGTCATACTCGTTGCGGAATATGACATATATTTGTATCGTCTTTATCGCGTAACATTAACATCATTCAGAAAACATCATAACACAGTAAGATAAACCTTAACAGGCATTAACATCAATTTATAACAAAAATACAAATCAATGTATGAATTTGTCATTATTCTTTCTTTCTAGCCACTTGGACTCTGGGATAGACTCAAAAGATGTCTAGTCTTTTGATGTTGATTATGATGTCCATTTCAATTTCGCCGTTGATTGGGGCTCCTGTGAGGACATATACTTGCGCTTCGGACACTATTTCCCGTGCGGATTGCTGCTTCATTCAATGCATGATAATATCGAACTTCCCATGTCGATACAAGTCACACAACCGCATCGACAACTGCTTTGGATGCTGGTGAGAACTGTTAAGATTACGTCATCCATCAAACCATTGTACATTCTCTACCCCATCTTACAAAATAATACTTGTACCTACATGCACCTCTTTTACAAGGGTGGTTAAGGGGACGCCAGAGACTTGAGACTTGATGCAATATTATCTATCATTCGAAAAAGAACTAAGAGAGTTTTCAAGTCCGCTAACTTCCCTTCCACGCTCTTCACGTATCGACAAAGCACTTTTGCAAACTTTGTTTTGACATTCTCTTTATATATTTTTCAAGATATTACTCTTAGAATATCAGAAAATGGATTGGAAATATTTGTGATGCACGAGCACGATGCACGAGCAAAGATTCATGACTAATAAAAATAATTTCAATTAAAAATGTTCAATTATCACAAAAGAAAATATGTGTATCTATACAATCATGTATTGTTGACATTGATGGTACATAAATAAGGGTTATGTACTGGGAGGTTTTGCATATGGGGTTTATTCAGAGGGAGAAGATATGCATATCTACCTGAGGGAGTAGGGCCCGAAGGTAGATGTGTATATCTCACGAGGGATGAACCCAATATCCAAACCGACCGTACATAACTTCTTTACCAAGTAGAGTTTTCTAATTTTCTTTAAATTTTTTTTATATTTTTTCTTTTTTCAATCTTTAATTTTTTCAGATTTTTTCTTTTTTTTCAATTTTTTCAAAAAATTTTTTCGAAGCGGGAAGATATGTCCTGGAGCGGGAGATATGGCGGGAGATATGGAGGTTCAGGATATGGAAACCTCAAAATCAGAATTCGGGATATATTTTACCAAGTTATCTCCCTAAAACTCTACTTGGCATAGGATAATAATGGGTTATGCTGTTCTCCTTCAGTCTCTCGTTTACCGTCCATATGATCATATATAATTAATTCACACTCTTTCATTCGATCAGCGACATGACCGGTGATGGAGGCAGTGGTAAAAAGCGATCTGCATCTTCGCAGTTATCAGAGAGTCTTATTCGAAGTGAATCGTCGAAGAAAACTAGAAAAGGTAAAAGCGGGGAGTCTTTTCAAAACGGTTATGAAGAGGACGCCGAAAGAAATGATGGAGAGAGCAATAAAATTGACCCCCAGAAAGATTCGTACATGTTCCTTAATATTCACTACGTCAAGGAAGATGGACAAGCAACCGATAGATCTACTATCTTAAGATAAAAAAAGGTGTGATCTTTTTTCGATATCACTTTGATTGCAAAAAGTTAAAAGTTTCGTTACTGTTTGCCATTCATGTATATAGAATGATGACTGACCATGGCCTCTCTTAAGAAGCAGGGGCGTATCTGGGAACCAACAAGGGGGGGACCAAATTTCAGGTCTGAGAAAAAACATCCAAGAAAATTTTGGGCCCTTAAAACCAAAAAGTGGGCCAAAATTTTGAAATTTAGAGGCCCATTTTCTTCAAAATTTGGCCTAAAATTTAAAAAATAGGCCTAGTAATGACCAAAAAGGCCCATTTTTGGGCCATTAGGAGCTTTTTTTGGAGCCCAATTTTTTTTCTGGGCCCACCCAAGAGGGGGGAGGGGTCCCCCTCCCCAGATCTGCCAGTGAGAAGAGAGGCTACGCTTTCATTGAAGGATGGCTGCTACCAGAGCTGCGTCTGAAATACGTCATCTCAATAACTGTCGATCTGTCGATGGATTTATACGCATTTATTAAAGCTTAAGTAAACTCGTGTACATTTGTAAGGTGATGCAAAACCTTTTTAAATTTTTTAATAGTTAATATAACGCCTATATATAATTTATTTTCAGAAGCAGGTGATATAGCGACACGCTCATCATTCTGAACACATTAGGTGGAACCTGATACCAAATATGTTAATTAGATGCAAAGATAGGACTTCCTACATACGTTAATATATCATGAAGCAACTCCTCCCGGGAAACTCCCTCGTCTAAGTCTTATTTACTACCATCAGATATTCTCGAGAAACAAGGATTTAAAAAAAACTGGACTGATTTACTCTTTGCGTATTGTATTGTTAAAATTGATGAAAATGTCTCAAAATATATGACTCATTTCTCTAGAACTATACACTTGGTTATATTTGTGAATGCTTGGGATGGGATATCTGTGTTCGGCAAAAATTATTGTTCCGTTTAGTAACAAAACGTATTCCAAGAAACTCTTGGAACTAAGAACATTTTCTGTTTCCGTAATAAATTCGAATTTATTACGTATGATTTATTCAGCAATAAATTCGAATTTATTACGGAAATCAGAAAATGTTCTTAGTTCCAAAAGAGTTCCTGAGAGCACGATGGGGAAATTAATGGTAAATTCGGAAATATTCCATATAATTGTACAACGGTGTACATAGCTATTAGCCTCGCTTCAAGACTGTGGACCTCACCCTCACCCCCCCCCCCCCTATCTACTTCACCAACACAATACAGTCTTGTAATCATTGCCTAGATACAGGTGCTGCCCTCTGGATCACCGGATGTGGAAACCGGAGATTGACTCGTTTGAAAAGAGCTAGTCAAAATGTGGCTTCCCCACGTATCAATTTACATGACATTTACATAGAGTAATACAATTGCTTGTGAAATATCATTCTGATACTCATAACATCTTTCTGTTTTACCTGATCGAAACATCTCAGGGCTGAGAAGAAATGAGATGTCATGGTTCATCATGATGGTGATATATTTCAATACTAACCATCATACAATATTGATAATTCAAATAGCTCCCGACGATGATCAAAGTGTCTGCTAACAAAATGTATCTATTCGTTTACAATTCCATAATCATCAGAAATCATTGGGAAGTAACTTGACGGTTATAGGAGAGGTTAACAACGTAATTCACATTGTAACTCCATGGAACATGTGGTTTCGGGTTATATTCCGAGGGTCATCTTAGAAACTTAAATTGCGCATGCGCTAGGAAAGAAATATATCGAGTGAACATTTTGGACCAATCTACTTTTCATATTTATGAATATATTTTGGTTTATGTTTCTCGAAATTATATTTTCCTTCAAAATAGAATATTTGTTATTTTTAATAAGGGGAGAGAAAACCCTACAGTTCAGAGTAACCTCATAATTACCTCTCTGGCTTCGTTTTGCTCTTTCCGCCATTTATAGTTTTTGAATACCAGAATACGATGTGATGCATTTATCGATGTAAACATGTTCCTTACATCTTTCTTTATCTTTCTTTATCTTGACATAAAAACACGCTATTTGAGTCATCAAAGGTTATGATCGTTTCAGAAAAATTCGGGTAGGTGCCATCTTGAAAATTTCAAGCATAGCTTGCATATTTTGAACCAAATCCGCCATCTGGTATTTGGATTATCACAGATTACATTTCAAGCGACAAATGGTGACCATTTGGAAATTCAGCGCTGTCATCTTGAAAATTTCTTTTCAACAGAGTTCCTTTGTCCCTAGGTGTGAGCATATAAAATTAGATCCAAATCTGTACATTGGTATTTGAGTTGTCAAAGATTAGGTTTTGTGGCAATCTTGAATATGTCTTCTACAATATGTCTTTTGTAGAGCAAAACTCCTTTGTCTCTTGACATCGTCATATAAAAGAACCAAATCCGTCAACTGGTATTTGAGTTACCAAAGATTACGTTCTCTTACGAAAAATGGCGGGCATTTTGAAATTCAGTGGCCATCTTTTTGATCTATTCTTGAGCAAAGCTTCTTTGTCTCTATGCATGCAGTAATTAAAGATGACATCTTTACGATAAATGGTGGCCATTTTGAATTAAGTGGCCATATTGAAATTCCTTCGCGAGCAGAGGTGCTACACAATTTGAATCCAATCCGTTAACCCGAACACACGAACGGACGAACGGTTCGACGAATGGACGGACGACTTTTCAATATCCCCCTCGAAATTCGTTCATTAGGATAATAAAGAGCAAACATTGTTGGATACATAGAGATTATACTATATGAGGTCCAGGATATTGGGATTATCCCAAGGCAAATATAATATATCTGCCCGAGGGCCGTAGGTCCCAAGGGTAGATATATTATATTGGCCAAGGGATAATCCAAATTTCTGAACCGACTATAGGATGATCTGTTTATCCCATACCAATCTTGGTCATTTTGTCCACAGTTCAGAAACTTTGCAACCAACCGTGGAATTATTTCAAAATATTCATGTCCAGTTTTGTATATTCTTGGCCGCATCTGGATTTTCATGTTCTTTCGGACATTCATCCACATCTATTTTCTGGAATCTTTGATTATTTACAGGGCATACTGCTCCTTACTTTCTTTGAAGAATCAAACACACGGTCTCCGATACTACCCAACGTAAATCGTTCCGGACTTGTTTTTCATAACCATTTGGACTCATTTCGTAGGAGAATGAGATGAGACATTCATCAGAATGGCTCAAAAAGATAATATAATTCTATCGTTTAGAAAAATACATACACTTACTTCTACCTAAAACATTCTTTTTCGTACCCACATATCTATTTTGGCGATCATGCCATCATAGATCATATTTATTGGCATTAAATAACAAAAATGCCAGAAATATGCTCTAAATCTGCATTAGTGTCATTTAACTATGTTCAAACAAAAAAATCTTTTTATAACGTGGAACAATATTCACTACATTAAAGATCGTGTTAATATTTTTACTATCTGTACCTTCAAATTTCCATAAATGACCGTAATGTAAAAAGTGGATATACGACGGCGAATGGTCCTTATTCTAACACGGACTTGTCTTGTAATCCCTAGGTGAACGACTGCGAATTGTACACAACGTGATAAAAATAACGATTAGGAATTGTCTTGTAATGGTATTTATACGTTCCGTTGCTTGATGAATTGTCAATGCTTCTGGAAAATTGCATTTAGTATGATCATGTTTTTGAGGAGTTTTTATACTAAGCATTCACACATTTTGTAATTTCAGTTCCCAGAAACAAGTGCCACGAATGTAGTTTTAAAAGTGCAGATAAAAATATATTCTTTGAACACTTCAAGAGGGACCATCCCTCTGATTTATTCAGGCTTGACGTCCCCTTTCGTGATAAAGGCATTAATATAAGCATGGAAGTCAGTTTAAAGCCAATAAGGGCGTTTATGCTCACATTTTTCATAGGCAGATTAAAAATAGCGACGAGTGAAGTCTTTAAAAACCGAAGAGGCAAAACACAAAATATATCTAAGCACGAGTGCCAAGGTGAAAGAACCAAAAGTTGTAATGGAACTTAGCAAGAAAAAGCAAACTCTAAGTGCATACCAGTTAAGAAAAACAAACCCCATATATCCCAATACCATGATCTAACGTGAAAAGAAACAATGTCTAATACCCCCTTTCCCCCACCATTCAAGAAACGATATCACAATCCAAGACCAAAACACCAAGGGACATTTCATGCAAACTGAAGTCATTACAATACATGTTGAAGAAAAAATTAGAAATTGATATCCAATACTCATAACATCAAAAATAGTTGTAGATACAAGTACTCATACAAGATAGAGCATTCATTCTCAAATGATATGGGATAGATAAAATCCCGTCTTCAAGTCCATAGGCAGTTCAAAGGGTCTTGACAAGTAACTCTAATACGTTTAATTGATGACGATCATTTAGATACTAGTATCACTCCTTCAACTGTCCTCATCCACTCTGATGATTTATTGGAAATCTATAAAGTTTATGGTTCCACATTTAAAAATGGTTCGTTGTGTTCTACAAGTCAGAAACGTTCCAATAACACAAGTCAGAAACGTTCCAATAACACAAGTCAGAAACGTTCCAATAACACAAGTCAGAAACGTTCCAATAACAAGTCAACATCATTAACTGGAATATTTAGGGCAAGTCCAAATGGTTAAATCTAAAAAATATTCTTTCGACAATTGCTACTCAATTAAACCATTTTAAATCATGATTTTCGTTCACAATATGGCTACTTTCATTATGAATCGGTGTATTTATTGGATACAAGGCAGGCTGGTGATTATCAGGCAAAATAGGTGAAAACACTGGCAGAATCGCTCACATCCCGAAATAACAAGACTATAGCAAATGGTTCGTACAAAAAAGCCGTTTGTGGGTGCCTGAAGTTAGGGTATATAGTATGGTAAGTTATCTAATCGTATTATATTTACATAAAGTCAAGTGAAAGCAATTTCATAGCCAAATTTACAAACCTACCTCTACTTTTTTCCATAAATCAAGTCCAAATGGTTATGAAAAACAAGTCCGGAAGGATTTACGTTGGGTAGTATCGGACACCGTGAAACAGATCGCGATTGTCTGCGTTTTTCTCAATTGTCGTTTACAGTTATTATGCGAACGTTACAAAGAATGAACCAATATGCGAACGGTGATTATGACGTAGCGGGCAGATATAATATATCTGCCCGCTCGGAGCGGGACGTATAACTATATCTGCCCGATTAATGAAAATATATAGGGGTTATGCACTGGGAGGTTTTGGATACAGGGAATATCCCGAGGGATATACAATATATCTTCCCAAGGGACCGAAGGGACCGAGGGAAGATGTATTGTATATCCCAAGGGATATTCCATGTATCCAAACCGACCTTGCATAACTGGTGTATCTCATACTTGAGTGGGTTTAGGGTAGATATAACCTTTTCCACCTTTTTCAAATGACAAGATATTTATATTTAACATTTTCGTAATATTCTTTTTGTTCAATACAATGAAATTGTAACATTTAAACTTAAAAAAATTAAATTTCAAAATTAAAAAATTAAAACTTTTGATATTTAAACTTTTTTAAACTTTTGAAAAATTCCCGGGAGCGGGATGGATATATTATATCTGCCCGCATTTGGCCTGGGGCGGGACAAATACAATATATCCTGCCCGCTCCTCAGATACGATATGTATTCCCGGGTGATATATACCCCAAACCAACTCAAGTATGAGATACAAGTTTTTACAAACTGGCTTTATGTACCTGTAACACGTCCAAGTATGGGATAAAATATTTCCAAAAGCGTCTCAATGTGCCGATGATTTCCAAGAAATAAAAAACTTTAGAAATATATTGCAAAATTGTGACCGTTCTTTAGGTAAGTGCTCTTAACACCTCTCTATTCTTCGTTACACCTTCAACCACACAGAGCAAACATAAAAACACGTTAAACTATATAGCACCTATTATTTTGAAAGCTACCTGTATTCTATTAACTTCTGAACAAACAAGACATTTGAGATCTTACACTAGATCTTCTACTTTCTATTTTTAAATATCTGGAAATTGGTTAATTAACATGGTCTATCGTTCTTATATTTGAGTCAGATGAAATCCCGGGGATGAAATCCTGTATTATGTCGGTGTTTTGGACTTTGGAACCACTTGGCATTCCTTTGTGTCCATTTCCTAAACGGTTTGGGATATCGCTTCAAAATTGTTGTCTTAATTAACGTCATTTCTTGAATCTTGATATAGTAAAACTATTAAGAACTTGCATTAGATGTAATACATTACTTATAAGTGGTTTTGTTTTGCTTTTACTGATTTGCCCATTGCCCAGATGTGGTGTGCCACTCTCAATATCAGCTTCACTCTTTACAGTTTCCACGTAAGATACGGTGTCCGCCATTTGCCGTTGCACCTTGTTTGAGAAAAGTCGTTTCTGTAAACCTATTTTCCCTCCAATAGGGGCATTCAGGTGCGAAACCCGGTGTGAATGCGTACCAATGACACCACGTCCAGAATCTGTTTGACCTTGACAGATGCAATCACGTTTACCAGCCCTCTGGAATTCCTTAATCTTGTTCTCCAGTGATTCACCGACGTCTGAGGCCACATTTGGATAGACAAGCGCCAAGGCATACCCGAGCTTATACCCTAAAGAGACCGGATCCGAGGTCCAATCAAGGGGTTCGCCTCCATAGTTCGGATGATCATTAGGTGTCCACGTGGCTTTTGTACCGTAGTTTGATGTACTTACAGTCCTCTTCCCGTAATTATGAAGTCCAATGTGCCGACTAAGAAGCTCTGCAAGCGGTTGTGGGATCGACTTTAGGACATCAATGCTCAACCGGTAACCATTGTCATCTGAAAGTAATTTCAACATTGCATAACCATTTGTTGAAAAATAGTGAACTTATTTAAAATAAAATGTTGGTTAACTTGTTACACACATACATACATGTACATCTGCTTGTTGAAATTATTTTTAAAAAATTGGTTGAAAATGGGGTTTAGATGTTAATTCTCATTGAATCCGATGGTAACTTAATATTTAAAACATGATAAAAACTTATTTCAACCTAGATAGGCTAACAATGTTGCTTTATTTTGAAAAACATATTTAGAAAATATTTGTTTGAGAAAAAATTGACAATATTTGAAAAAATGTGTTTTACAGTGTTAAGTGTTTTATTTGATGGTCTAAAAATCTAAACTTTTAAAATGGCGAGAAATTCAAATATTTCGAAAATTATATTTCTATTTTTATAAAAAGTTTTTACAAAACTATTTTCAAAAGTCACAGTTTTCAAAAAACGTCTAAAATAGTTTTTCAAGTCATGAACGGTATTAGAAAGAATAAACTATATTTTCAAACTTTGCATGGGAGTGTGATATTTGTTCATATATCATGCGTGGGCGCCACAGTTCAACGATATCTTCAACCGCTTCAAGGGAAGGTAACTGGAAATGTAAGATACGGTAACGGTCATGTTAGTTTTCAATACGCGGCAACTGGACAGCTCTCCATTCGTTACCGAATCACCGCATCTCAGTTATCCTATCATCTGTAAAATTAAAATCCCAGTCACCTTCCCTTAAGCGGTGGATGATATCGTTAAACAGTGACGCCCACCCATGATATATGAACAATGATCAATTGACCATACTCTAGAGTGTCCAAGTCATGTAAGTCAGATTTAGTTGTAATATCAAAGCATAAGGTCAACTATAAAGTAGTTTAAATCGATCAAAACTGAAAACTTCGAAATCGACACTTCCCGTCCGCCATCTTTGATGCGAAGGTGACGGCCGTTACCATTGCTTGATACTAACCACCAGTGTCTTTGGAAAACATTTTATTTTTCTATTTTATAGCAGTTTAACACTTTCGTTCAGTGCTATCATCTCTTCTCGTTGGTGGAACGAGCCGAACGACCTGCTACAGAGATATTAAAATTCTTGAGAAATAAAAAAATATTGTTGTGAAAATGATCAATTTATTCTTCCTGACAAGGATGTGATACAAAATAAAATAAACGTTAAGAAAATGTGAATAATTTTTGATAATTGTTCAACTTTTAATGCAATTTAACAAATTCAATAAATTATAATACATTTTGAGATTCCCATTTGAAAACCAGTGACAGATTTAGAAGATTGGATTAAGTAAATAGCAAAGAAACCAAAATTACGATTTCCACATTTTCGTCCCTTCCAGTCGGTTTAATTCATTCCTTTGTCGATAGATACTAAGACATTAAAACGTTGGAATTTACAACAACATTATCATTGTCGTTTAGAATCATACTTGTCATAAAGAGATCACATGAGTTCGCAAATTGTAAATATTTCTCACCATAAAAATGTACCTTATCAATCTTTGAACAATTTCCATATAATATAAGTCAATACTACATACTTGCTTTTTGACGTCTCTGTTGGTATCCGTAGACTTGAGCGGCTAGACAGAAGACAGTGGCTATCTGTCCATACATGATGAAGCACTTGGTGATGGAAGAACGCCTGTAGTGTGAGACAGCTAGACTAGAGCTTATATACTTTACATCGATGACCTGTTAAACTACGTGGGAATGCATCTTGTATTACATGTAAAACATTTGTAAAGCGAATTATATTTAATTATGAAGACACATCAGGAATCTTAGCAATCTAATGGAGACACTTTGGTTTTTTGCAGGCGGATTCAATTTTTATCTTTTTATCATTTTATGTCACGACTTCGCTTATTAATTCTGTGATTTACGCCCGTAGCGTAGCCCGGAAGCAACAGATGGGGCACTTCTGTCATCGCTTTTTAACAACCTTTATACGGTTATTCCTCTTTCAATGAAGTTGTAGATTAATTGAATAACTTCTCTCGGTCTCTAATCTTAAGTCATCAATTTTTAATTCAGCTGTGCATAATCTCATCACTAAGTTCGTATTGTAATGTTTTTGTTCATATTTCCGAATCTGAATTTTAAATAATTTACCATATGCTGTTGTCTTTGTAAATTATCCCGAATTCAGGTTCCGTTGTCATTGACGATATCGAAGACGCTATATTGTGGCGATTCACGACCCAATTTAATCGAAATTGGGATTTCATATGATTATCACAAGAGCTTAATACATACCGTTGTCAGGCTATTCCGGTGTGAAACGGTAACTATTATAGGGCTCAGAACTGTACAGTAGTCGTTAGCGTCGCGTCCAAATAGCTTGGGCAAAATACAATAGTGTCGGGTTCGAACCCGGATATTAACTTTCTACAAGCACGAGAACGTATGTCTCATCTCTTCAAATCTGTTTCATGTTTGGGGACGGTATACACTCCCCTCCATAAGTTTGGCAACCTTTTTCCCCCATTGAACTACGTGTTAAAGCCTCTTTACGTTTGAATTTTTATTTACTTAACTGGCGACGAAATAACTTATAATATTGATGAAAACGTAACTTAACTTTATTTCCAATACCTCCAAATTTTTTCAATTTTTTTCCTCAATTACAATAGGTCGAAAATTGATGATAAATTTGATGAATTTTTGAAAATCGTCATTCCCATGTAATCCAATGGGAAATGAAGGATGCGGGGCAAATCAGAAATCAGGATATCTTTTCAGTAAAAGATTCAGCAAAAAATATTTTTATATAGAAAATTGTCTAACTTTTTTAACACTAAGTGTTTAGTTTATTTGATGAATATTAGAGTTACAGCGCTTCGAAGTCATTTTTGAAAATAATTTTTCGTCTCCTGTGTTATTTCAATGGGAGAAGTTTTTTGAAAAACAATTTTGACTTTAAAGCCCTATAACTTTGTTGAACCTGAAGAAACATATCAATTTTTTGTTAAATAAAGTTAGCAAATTCAATTGCCTGCCTAACTCGTATTTTTGCAAGGACTCGGATGAATGGATATTCTGTCATATGACTTGCGGCAAACCTACCATTTCCCATTGGTTAACATGGGAATGTCGATTTTCATATTGTAATTGAGGAAAAACATTGAGAAAATTTGGAGGTATTGGAATTAAAGTCAAATTTCGTTTCCATCAATAGTTATAATATGATTGTAATTGTGTCTCATAAGCCTTTGGAGGCTGGCCGTATAATTACGGGTGACACTGTAATAAATAAATAAATAAATAAATATAGGTATCTTCATCGCAGGTTAAGTAAATAAAAATTCAAAGGTAAAGAGGCTTTAACACGTAGTTCAATGGGGGAAAAAAGGTTGCCAAACTTATGGAGGGGAGTGTATACTATATATGCCATTTGGTGGAATTTATTAATTTGTATTTCTGTACCAATTATCTATCGAATGATGTAGTTCATTGTTGCTTGGTCAGTATAACGTTTTTATGAATTCCTCCGAACTTACTTGTGTTTGCTATGCGTATGTATAACATAATAGAGATAGTGGGAAGCATTTATCTTTCAAAATTCCCAGACATATGCCTCGCATTTCAGATATTCCAACACTACGCAACATTATGATGTTGAGGACACATCTGCTGTCTGAACATATATCATATTCGCATAATTAAATGGTATTTATCTGTAATAGCAGCAATGGAATTAGATATACGGTATATTTACATTCTGATCACTCATAGCATCTTTCTGTTTCACCTGAGTGCTGAGAAGATTTGAGATGTCATGGTTTATCATGATGTATATTTAGGGAGTAAGGACATAGGAGTATGTAGGCATGAGTGTCATCCTAGGAAGACAAGACATAGACTAGGCGAGCCTTTGAAGTGTATCATCAGGAGTGGCAACTCCATTGTGTATCTATTGCTCCATGTCTGTCTAGAAATCCCAGCAGGGCGAGCGAACGCTGTCGGTAAAAAAATAGAAAGTCAAATGAGTTTAGGGATACATCCTATAAAAGAAACCTCAAAATACCACCAATCAAAAGGAAATAACTCTATCTATGGCTCCATGATCCCAACCATAACAATATTCAAAATTTCAAGTCACTGTGACAACCGCTTTGAACAGCGTCAAATATCAACATATCTCAGCCATGTTTTGACAATGGTCAGTGTATCATGCTATATTGCAAAACAAAGGTTTTACCTAAACTTTAAAGTGATTACCTTTATTATGTCTTCTTCTCAACAAACTTTTTCAACATTTTCAGGGCTAACTAGTCTTACTCCCTGAATTTAGTTGGGGATGGACAAAAAAGATTTGAACAAGGGAACGCAATTGTAAAGCTAAGTTCACACCAACGGCGATTTGATGGCGCTTTCAAGCGCCGTGCAAAGCCGCTTTGCACGGGCCGTTGATGTGAACTTAGCTTTAATTCTTCAGATTGCGATGCTCAATGATTTCGAACCCACGGCTGCTGGATTGCTACTCGCTTATTCAAAAACGGATTCCAAACTTTTGGATGGGAGTGTGCGTCGTGTATTACTTGCCCCTTGAATATTATGAGACCATGAATGTTCTGAAATGATCGTTTTCAATGATAGGTTTTGATTTCAAATTCACAGAGCAATCATTTTAATGTAGGCCTTTCATTTCCAAGCACTTGTTCAGTTCAAACGTAAACACTATATTCGTATTATTTATTCACATCAAGATTGTGAAGAGTAAGATATATTTATTTGAATTACATAAACTGACAAAATGAATGTATATTGTCAAGGAAACTGCCATCATTTAGAATTGTAGTGACCCAAAACACCCAGCCAATGATATGGTGGAAGGTTGCTAAATTAGATCGTAGAGTTGCAGGACGATGATTAAACTATAAATTATACACCCGTCGGTCGCATGTTTATTGTAGTGATTGTATATATTGATAAAATGTGTGCAATTTGATAGATGGCGTACTAAGATGGTACGTGTCGTGGATTATATTCTCAATCTCAAGACGTTTTGTTTTTCTTAAAGCTACGTTCACACCAACGGCGCTTTGATGGCGCTATAAAGCGTCGTGCAAAGCCGCTTTGCACGGCTCTATAGCGCCATCAAAGCTTTGGTGTGAACTTAGCTCAAAGGAATTTCTAACTGAGTATCTGAATGGCACAGAAAAGTTAAACTCCCATTTAGACAATTAAAACTAAAGCTAAGTTCACACCAACGCACTTTGATGGCGCTTTAAAGCGGAGTGCAAAGCCGTTTTGCATGCCACTTTAAAGCGCCATCAAAGCGCCGTTGGTGTGAACTAAAGCTACGTTCACACCAACGGCGCTTCGATGGCGCTTTAAAGCGGTTTGTAAAATGGCACCAAAGCGTAACAAAGCTTGATTAAAGCGTCGGAGTCGTTATAGGTCGTAGAAAAGCTCGGAGTAAAGCGGGATATTCAGCAAGAGCGCCAAACATTTTTTTTAAAGCTACGTTCACACCAACGGCGAATGCCACGCTTTAAATCGGCGAGCAAAGCGGCATCAAAGCATGGCGCTTTAAAGCGACTTGTAAAGCGGCACCAAAGCGTAACAAAGCTTGATTAAAGCGTCGGGGTCGTAATAGGCCGTAGAAAAGCTCGGAGTAAAGCGGGATGTTCGGCAAGAGCGCCAAATTTTTTTTAACTGTTTGAAAATTTTGGGCGCTCCGTTACGAATTGATTAAAGCGCCGAGAGCGTATCAAAGCTTAACAAACCGTAACAAAGCTCAGCAAAGCTTGACCCAAAGCATAGGAAAGCTTAACAGAGCTTGGTTCAAAGCGGGGGCCCCAGTCTCTTCACGGTCTGTTACCACTTGACACGCTTCGTTTAGTTGTCTCAAACTTTGCTACGATCTGGCATGAAGATCTGACACCAGGTCAGACGCTTTCATCAATGCAATATCTGACACTCTTTGTTACGCTTTCATGAAAGACTCTCAAGCTTTTTAACGAATTGAGACGCTTTAATCAAGGATTGAAACGCTTTGTTAAGCTTTGTTACGCTTGACAAGCTTCCTCACGCTCTCTCACGCTCTTTCACGCCGTGCGACAAACATCATGTCTTCTTCAGATAGGTCATGATCTGGTCCATCTGGAATTTCTGGATCTTGTTGTGCTGCCATCGTCTTCCCGAGTCAAAGATGCAATGGTTTTATGGATCTACTGCATCTTTATACAGCCATTTGATCAAAAGCGTCATGATAAAGACGATCTCGAAAATGCACAACAGAGCTTGGCAATCGTATCAGAGCCTGATAAAGCGTCATAGGTCTTATTGGATTATTGGAATGACCAAAATCTGAATACTGACAATCTAGTGAGCATGGTAGAAAAGAAGTTGAAGGTATTATTTGTAGAAAAATGGAAAAATGATTTGAACATTTATCCTATACTGAGAACGTATAAATTGTTCAAAAAAGATTTTAGAATTGGATTATATTTGAAATTAGATAATAAAAAGTATAGGTTGGCGATAAGTAGATTTCGAATGAGTTCTCATCGATTGGCGATTGAGACTATAAGACATGCAAAGCCAAAACCAAAATCTAGAGAGGAAAGATTATGCAATTAGTGTAAACATATAGAGGATGAATGTCA